TTTATACATAATATATATTTATAAGTGATTTTTTCTTTTACAAAATACTATATTTATATATAATAAAATATTCTTTCAGTAAACCGTAAATTTTAAAACTGCTTTATAACTAACGTCATGAGTGACATTAAAATTAACCGTTTTTCAAGAGACTTCTTTTTTTTAATCTTGAATGTTTAATTTTATAACGATTCTGTTAATGATAATGATGATGATGATGAGACTAACACTTGAGAAGAAATATTTTTAATGGAATTTCAACAAGTTTCTTGAACGTCGAATGTGAAAATATGAATCTTATATGTAAAGTGGATATTTTAAGAATGTAGGTACGGTAAAATATATTTATTATAATATTAATGAATGGGTAGATATTTTATGAATATTATATAAATAAGTGATATCGTTAAAATTCTTTTATACTTCCCTTACATTTTTCCACATACCTTTTAATAACGTTTGTACATGATATTGTATTTTTTTTACAGGAAAAACTATTTTCAAACTAGATGATGAATAAAATATTCCTTTTTTTCGAAAAAAAAGGTTAATAATTATACAAATTAAATTAGTGCGCAGGTAAAAATTGCATTTTGAAGTACTGCGCAGCGTTTTACTGCATTGCGCAGCTAATGACGACTCTATGGTGAACTGCGCACCTGTAGCCACGCCCTAATATGATTTACCCCCACCGTCGTCGAATAGCGTCAATTTTTTTTTGTCACTAGTGATAATTTAACAAAGATTAAGTTTCATTTGACGAAAAATAATTAAAATGAGTATTTTTTCAAATTTTCGATTAAGGTTATAATAAAAAATAAAAAGAGAATCAGTGGTAGTTATCATTGAGTTTAAAAATTTTTTATAACTCAAGAGAAGATTAGATGTAGTATATACAATGTTTTTAGAGTCTTTTGCGGAGATTCACGTTTATATCTACTATATATACATTAAATTATCTGTCCGGTTGAAGACTCGTTCCCATAAAATTACTCGATATGTTTTATTAGCATGGTTACCATAAGGTATCTTACTCTTTCATGAGAGTGGGTTGTAAGAGAGGGGGGGAAGAAAAAAATTCCATCTTCCCCCCTCCTCTATCTTTCTATCTCTCTTTCTCTTCATGAGAGTTCTATGGGAAGCTGTACGCGTGTTACGCGACGTGGGTAGCAAAATATAATTATCCACGTACTTGTCGTCAAAAGGGGAAATGAGATGAGCAATAAGTTTGTAAAGTTGTTTTCGAATACAAAAAAGAAAAACAAATTCTTATTTCTTTTTCAGCAAAATAAAATTTTTTTCCAATTGAACACTTTTTGAAAAAAATACTCTATGATTATATTAGGATCACTTCAGTTGTAGATGGAGCCGCATGGCTAAAAAAAGATTAATTAAAATTTTAAAGGATGCAGATTTACGTAAAAAGTGATTCTTAACTAAGAATTTAGAATAAAAAAAAAGTGAAATAAATAGTCAACTTTATGAATACGTGTTGGAAAAAATTCACTTTCAAAAATTCCGATTTTTTTAAAAAAATTAATTAATAGCAAGGTTGAAAATATTGTAAATGCAAAATCTTGGAAGTTTGTTAAAAGTAATTATTTCACGGAGCAAAGGGGGTCGTAAAATATGAAAGTAATATCTCTATATTTATATGTATTTGGATATTTACATATATTAGGAGATCATAAAAAATCACGAGAGAAAGAGAGTATATAGTAGTTTTTTAAAAAACTGCCTATTTCACTTTTTTAAAAAACAATTAGGGAACTTCGGACATATAAAATATCGAAGTTTATGTGAGAAAGAGTTTTAAAAAACAAAAACTAATTTCATATTTCTGGAAAAAGTGATAAAAAAAAAAGTCAAAAATATACTTTAAAATCGAAGAGAATTCCCTACAATTTGTTGGAAAAATTCAAGATGGTGGACAAGTACCCTAAAGCACCCTAACAGATTATATTCACATACATGTTAAAAGTGAATGTTTTCTTCACGATTCTGCAACAAGTTTAAGCTTTGATTGTCGTAAAATGGCAAGGACTTTGACGAAACGATAAATTCTCGATGCAGTTACTTGTCTCTTGTGACGTTAAATAGATGTACGTTGTACCGGCCATTGACATAAATGCTCTCGACATAAATTAATTCTTTCCACATTCAACTCGAGCAATTTCCTCTATATCCACTATATACTTTGCTGGTACATTATTTGTAGAAATAAAAAGTTACAATATACATTTCAATGACATACACGATTGGGAACGTTTATAAAGTATATTACCTTCCCAATCCTGTTCATATTATCTACCCAACCTTGCACAACAATGTTACTCAGTAATTAATTGCTCCGCACTTGACTCATTGTCCGTAAAAGCAATCTCGACCCGCAAAATTAATTAATACCGAACTTTATGACAAAACAGGTTCGTTTTCAATTAATAGTTACTGTTTATTTTTTAAATTCCTTCTTGAAAGGAGAATAGGAGTTAAAAAGTGGAACTGATACTGAATTAACCTAAAGTTTATTTTGAATTCTCAAAATAATAAAATATATCGTGAGTAGGGGGTAGGCAAATACATTGTTTTCTTTCTCTCTCGATGAAAAATTTTATGTTCCATTATCTATTTAATAAAGATTTTCGATTTTTATTTTCTGCGCATACGGATCGTGTCGTCGCGTGCCGCATAATTTATTGACGGAGACCTTCTATCTCCATCAAGCGTCTCATAAATCCGGGAACCGATCGTCGGAGAGATTTTCATCTCGCACTTGTGCGGCGTCATTCGATATAAGGCGTCGAGTCATTTTGCATTTTATTTCCGAGAGAACAACCTTTGTCCAGTGTACCTGATAAGCACACTTTTATTTTCAATTTCCGTCGAATTTTTATGTATCCTACTTAATATAAAATAACATAAATATACGAAAAGTTTTTTTAAAGCAAATTTTTCGAATGGTAGATTTGATAAATCAAATAAAATAATGTTTTACATGAAACTGTAAAAGTAACCTAATGATATCTATACGGAAATATTGCCGGATAGTGATTTTCTGGACTTTAGCTACTCATACCTGTTTCTTGCAGTTCACTTGCAGTTACTGTAAGTCGCAGTGTCAGTGAAAATGTCAAAGGACAACTATTTTCATACTAGATGATGAATAAATTATAAATACGACAAAACTTCTTTTTAAAAAAAGAATAATAATTATAATAATAAAATTAAAAGTGATAGTAATAAATTGTAAATAGTAAAATTAATAATAATAATAATCATTTCACATGATATTGTAAAAGTAACCTAATGATATTTTATATGAAAACACTACCGCTCTGTGACTCTATGGACTTTAGCTACTCATCCCTGCTTCATACAGTTTCTGTCAGTCAGTGTCAGTGGTAACGTCAAAGGACAACTATCTTCATACTAGATCATGAATAAATTATAAATACAACAATAATTCATTAAAAAAAGGGACCTTATTAAAAAAAATAACTTTTTACATAAATCAGTTTTTCCCTTTTTGTAGAAATAATTTAATTTTACCATTAAAAAAAAGTTTTGTGTTTATAGGCGAAATTTTTCTCTTGCAAATAATGAGAATAGTAATAATAAAACGAAACATGAATAAAAGTTTATTATTATATTTATTAGAAGTTATTAATTTATTAAATTATTTATAAATAATGATAATAAAGTAATTTTAAAAAAAAATTAATAAAATATGCCTTTACTCACAGATATGATCTATTAAACAAAACTAATTTCCTTTTAAATCATGTCCTTTAATCGTTAGCAGCGATAGTTTTATTGTAAAAGGAATCTTTTAAATATTAAAAATGTTAGAAGTTTATTGAAAAAAAGAAAAACGTTTGAATAGTAACTGATTTCATTTAATTTTTAAATTAAATCCCTTTATTGATTATAATAATTATTTATATATTCGAAAACATTAATGTAATTTATTTAAAAATATAGAACTTTTTAAAATTAAAAAAATTGATGAAAGGCTATATATATGGAAATTATGATAAAAGAAATTTTGTTCTTAATTTTAAATATTCTACCTGCCTATCAAATACATTATTTGTAGGCTTGTGTTATTATATTTTTAATTTAATTTCAAATATTTTATAAATTTTAGTACAAAATAAATAAATTATTAATATATAATTAAATAAATCAATGAATTAATGATAATACGAATAAATAAAACTATTGATAAATTTGGGAATATTTAAAATGTACTTTAGAGTGTAAAAGTAAATGAAAAAATATGAAAAAAATCAATTGATTTTTTTTATAAACTATACAGATATGAAAAATGTGGGATATATATAGCTGTTAGCGCGCCATTGCAGTTAATTATACAAATGGAGAATATAGGCAGCATATATTAAATGAAATAACGCCCAGTTCCTATAATATTCGATCTTTCGTTTATCCAGTGTTCCCCTCCCTTCCACCTCCCTCCACCCCTTTTATTCTCTTTTATTGACACCCACGCAATATCATTTCGATGCGCATTTCACACGGCAAATCAACTTCGTTAAATACTGACGTCAGAGAGGGCACACATACACACACACGGGCACAAATACATTCAAAACGAAAGGATTGATCGTGCTTTCAAGAATAAAAATCACATACTACCCACTCGCCTTATTTTTAGTTTTTATTTTCTTAAAAAAAATGGAGGACAATTTAATTAAAAAAATTTTTTTTTTGATTGATACGATATATGATCGTTTTTTTTATACTGTAAATTTTTGCGACGTATTTTTAATATTTGACATTTTGGTAGATTTTTTTTATGAAATTATATGTTTAATTATATGAAATTATTTATTATATTACAATTATTTATTATATGAAATTATTAATTATATGAAATTATTAATTATATGAAATTATTTATTATATAAAATTATTAATTATATGAAATTATTTATTATATTACAATTAATAAAAAATTATAAATTCTTGTATAATTTCAGGAAGTAGAGAAGCAGCTTTTACTTATGCGATAAGTTCCGCCGGTGTAACTTACAAAATCACGGAAGCTTGTAGTCGCGGAAACATCACAGCTTGCGGTTGCGAACCGACACTTAGGTAACTTGTTCACCTTGTTTGTAAATAGAAAATAAACTGAATATTTTTATTCAAAAATATTAAAAATATTATTCTTAAAATTCAAAAATAAATAAAAAGTATTCTGAAACAAAATTTTTAATTTAGAAAAAGGAAAAAATAAATTTTTTTTATAGTTTTTGAATTATTGTAACTTTGTGCTATAATATTGTATAGAAAAGAGATTTTTTTTTAAAATATTAATAATATTGTATAACAATGATGTTTTGTTTCATAAAGGACGAGGAGAGAATCACCCACAAGTGATTGGCAGTGGGGTGGCTGTAGCGCTGACGTTGCTTACGGAATGAGGTACGAAATGTTTTTTTTTATTAAATAAATTGCAATCTTTAATTTCAATTATAAATTTACTTTTTTTTTAATGAAAAAATAATAAAAAACCCGAAATTTATTTTTTATATTTTCCACTAATTATAAATGAATATTTCTGAAAAATAGGATGGCGCGCAGGTTTACGGACGCACGTGAAGTTGTCGGTGATCCAAGAAGTTTAATGAACTTGCACAACAATAAAGCCGGTAGAAAGGTGAGTTCAGTTAAAAATTTTCAAGAAATGCAATTCTAATCATTTTTAAGATTATAAAAAAAAGTAACAAAATTTTAATTTACTTTACATTTTTGCAATCGCAATTTTATGCATAAAAAAACCTCACTAGCTACCAACAATCGTTAATATAATTTTCCCTGCAATATTACAGCTCGTAAAATAAATTTATGACATATTACTCAAGTGACAGTTTTTAAATCACTATTATTTAATTTCATTAATTCTTAATTATCATCTTTTGAGTAGTAAACTTAATTACCCATCTTTATAGCCGTTCAAAAAAAAAACGAAAATTTTTTCTCTTTTATTAATTTATATTTTGATTTTTAATTTATTTCGGAAAAAAATGATTAATTTTAAAATTAGTTAATTGTACGTATATTAAAATTTGAAAATAAGAAAAATTGCATTTTTCACAAGAGCGATAAGAATATTAAAACATTATTTGAATGCTATAAAAAAAAAAATTAAAAGTAAGATAACATAATAATTGCAAACATTTTAAAAAGAATGAAAACAAATTTAGTCTTGATATAACGATATAACTCACATACATATATGGAGTGTAAATATTGAACGAGCAAATACTCGAAAGCAAGGTTGTTAACGAGATGCTAAAATTAATAATGAGCTGAGGCACCTCCCAAGGTATATCTTACTTTGGACACATGTTCGTGCCTATCGATATACTGATTTATCGGCCAATAAACACAAGCCAATCATTGAACAAAAAACAATGTCGTCTTTTCCTTTTTAAAGCGCAAAATACGCAAATCACCTTTTGTTTCACAAATGTCCAATCAGCAATGACAATACAAAAGGCATTTTGCATAAAAAATTTCCAAGAAAAAAAAAAGAAGATAAACATATTCTCAGAAAAAAGTCCTTTCTTTCCTTTATATAGTGAAATTTAGACTATAAAAAAAGCCAAATTATTTTTTAAAATTACTAATAAAAATAATTTATTTTTAAAACTGCAAATAACAATATTTTAGTATGCTAGGTTAATTAAAAAATTTTTCCTGTCATTTCTGTCATAAAGACATTCAATAAAAATTTTTCTTTAATTATCGATAATCGGTAAAGAAGGATTTTTAATTATCGACAAACTTTTAATTTTTTTATAAAAATTTTTAATGAGTTAATTTCTTTATTAATTTTAGATAGTAAAAACACTATTGAGAACGGAATGCAAGTGTCATGGAGTGTCCGGTTCTTGTACTATTAGAACCTGTTGGAGAACGTTACCCAGCTTTCGTCAAGTGGGTGATGCGCTCATGAAGAAATATTACCGAGCGCGACCAGTAGTAGCTGTCACGCCACCACCACCACCAAAGATGCAGGTCGGTATGCATTAAAAAAAATTGCTCTTTTACTTTTAAAAAATTCAAATTTTCTTCTCATCGAGTGTCGATAAATTATCGACTGTCGGTTCTTTACCGACTGTTAATTATTTATTATCATTTCCTTACCGACAGCCTATTGCAGACTGTTTCTTATACCTGAAACTCAACTATTGACTAATAACCACTATTATCTATTACCCCTCTACTTAAAAATAAGAAATCGTTATATATAAAGTTTTTTTTTAAACCAAAAATCGATAAAGTAGTATTCTACTTTACCTTATATCTATAGGTACCTAACCCTACCTCTACCATACACGTACAGTCATTTATAACCAACAGTCGATAAAGTAATATTTTACCTTACCTACTCTATACAGGTAGCTCACCATAGCTTACTTCTACCATACTTATATCTTTTCATTTAAAAAACTGTTTACCCACAATCGATAAACATACTATCGTTTACAGCCAACAGTCGATAAAGTAATATTCTACGTTACCATATCCACACAGTTCCTTAGCTTAATTACCTCTACCATACTTATATATTTTCATTTAAAAAAACTGTTTTACCCACAATTGATATACATACTATCGTTTACAACCAACAGTCGATAAAGTAATATTCTACTTTATCATATCCACATAGATCCTTGGCTTACTTTACCTCTACTATACCAAAGTATAGTATATCTCTAAACAAAGTATGAAGATGTACAATAACCAACAGTCGATAAAGTAGTACTCTACTTTACCTTTGTAACAAAAAAAAACTGTTTTTTCATAAAATTAAAATTGCAGATGGATGTTTCCCCGAATCCTGCGGAATTAATACCAATTTTGGGAAATGACGCAAGAACGCAAGGTTATGGTTATGAAAAATTAAAAATTGAACGACGACTATCACGTAAGGCTGTGAGTAAACCACGTAAACCACATTTGGTATTGAAACGTACAAAATTTAATAGTGGACCTGGAATGAGTTATAAGAGAATACCGAAGAGAAGTGAATTAGTTTTTCTTCAATCGTCGCCAAATTATTGCGATTCTGATATAGCTCAGGGCAGTCTTGGTACTCAGGGTCGTTTCTGCAATCGCACGAGTAAAGGTATTTTTCAATGTTACAACATTTTTCTTTAAATAATTTTGGGTTCGTTTGATTTTTGCAATTTTTAACTGCGCAGTAAGACTGTAGGCGTCCTATGGATGCGCAGTAAAGTTGTGCGCAATTAATAGCTGCGCAGTAGTTCTGTACGCAATTAATATCTGCGCAGTAGTATTGTGCGCAATTAATAGCTGCGCAGTAGATCTGTGTGCAATTAATATCTGCGCATTAGTACTTTACGCAATAAATAGCTGCGCAGTAGTGCTGTAAGCGATAATTAGCTGCGCAGTAATATTATACACTCATCATTAACACAATAAATCTTAAAAATTGCAATCTTGCCATGGAAAAAAATTAATTTCTCTCCTTTTTCTATAAAAGCAAATGACTAATGCCTAATTTTTTCTTGTTTAACATCAGGTACTGACGGATGCGACTTGATGTGCTGCGGACGAGGCTACAATACACATCAATACACAAAGGTCTGGCAATGTAATTGTAAATTTCATTGGTGTTGTCGTGTACACTGTGACACGTGCTCGCAACGAATTGAAGAGTATACATGCAAATAAAATTCAATTGTTCCAATGATTAGTAATCAGATTCTCGGATATCTCTCTATCTCTCTTTAATTGAATTCACAAGAAATGAAACAAAGGAATAATTAGAGAGAGAGAGAGAGAGAGAGAGAATTCGAACCATTTACAAGAATTTTTGTCACAATATGTACTTTTATTTTCTATGTATACCATCAGCCTTGGTTATATGAATAAGAGAAAAAAAACACAATTTTTATACACTTCTAGTTTTATATTAATCTCGAGAATTTAGCGAATAATTCCAAGGATTATTTCCTTAACTTCGTGAGAAAAAAAAATTAAGATAAGATATAGAATTTTTTTGCTAAAATTCATTCTTTATGACACTATAACTACCAAAGTTAACAATGCATTTACATTGTTCCAGTTTAAAAAAAAAAAGTAATTCGAAAGATAACAGAAAAAAAAGAAACATAAATTTTTCTTTCGCATTCCGCGAAAGTTTAATGTAAAAATATTCAATTTTTCGTCTTTTATAATCAAATGGCGATACACTTGAGAATGATGCAACTGTGTGATATTATTGATAATTCAATATTTATGTTAAAATTGGTGATAGATAAAAATCTAATAATTTCTCTACAATAAAAAAGACAACAAAGAAGCAAAAAAAAAAAAAAAATACAGAAAATTTACACTTAGGAATTTTCTAAGTTAAATTATAAACGATAAAATAGAAATTGTAATTAAAATTCCAAGAGATAAAAAATGATAATAATTAAAAATTTTAAAATACATAAATTGAAATTAAAAAATTATCACCAATTTTATGAGGATAATTTAATTATTCGATTGAATTACATTATCATTTGCTATATATATACAATTAAGCCCATAATTATTGTAAATTATTAATTTAATAGATCCTTAAATTATATATAATAATAAGCTTCATTGAAATTACAAAAAGAGAAAATTATGTGACTCTTTTTAGTTAATTAAAATTCTCGAGAAATTCTTTCTCCTTTCGAATGATATTATAAATAAAATTCTAATAATTTTTTTTTTTTTTTATCAAAATCGTGAAAAAATCACATTTTTTAAATCTATTATTATTCGGCGCATTTTTAGTAAATAGAAAAAATACTGGAAACTTTATAATTTCGGAAATAATTTGCAACGAATATTTATTAAATTGAAGTATGAGTGAAAAATCCCTTTAAAACAAAATTTTAAAGACATGATTTTAAAATCTTTAAAAAAAACTTTTAAAAAACTTTTAAAAAGCGAAAGAAAACTTTGTGAATTATAAAACGAAATTTTATGGTATTATTCTTTTATCAAAAGTAGATTGTACATTATAATAATGTGATTATTAATTATTAGTTTTAGATAAGAATAAGTTTTCTTAATTTTAAATAGCGTTATAAGAACATTTTTTTTTAAATTAAATTATTATTTATTCATAATTTATACAACGAGATACACCTGCTATTTACTTTTATTATAATATTGTTGTATTTTAATATTCAACAATAAAAAATAATTTCAAAATTACAAGTCTTTTTATTTGTTAATAATAATAATCATCATTTTTTAAATAAAATTTCTATATACTAAGAACGAATGTATACCTAATGCAAGTTTATACTTTAATTAACGTTCTATTGTCAGCATTAAATGAAAGTATTTTTTTTATCAAGATTTGAAAAATAACATTGAAAAATTAAAATGAAAAATAAATATTATCTATTTTCCGATCTCTACTGATGTCATTAAAAAGGAACTAAAAACTTTTTATAAAATAATGAAAGTGCAATTTTACAAAATTTTTGAATCTGAGATTTTGCATTTTGTATTATAATAGAATATAAAGTGGAAAATAATGAAAGAAAAATGAATGATTTTGAAAATGAGAAGAAAAAGAGAGAGGGAAAGGTGACATAAGGGCCTTTCTATAGAAAGTTCATTTTAAATAATAATTCAGTAATTGGTTACTAGCCTTGAGATTCACTTGTTTCCATGAAAAATAGGAAAATATTGACATAGTGCTTCGAAATTCTAAACCAACGAGCAAAATTTTCAATACAATGTAAGTACATAAATTCGTTGAAATTTCTTTTTCTAAATATCTACTTTATTATAATTATTTAGTATCTATTACAATTATTGTTCTCTTATTTAATTTTTTTAATTTGAAAAAATTATCTTTATTTATATAACACATTATAAATTTTTTTTTTTTAATAAATTTTTATTTTTTGATTTAATTTATTTTTTAATGCTTTACTTTTATTTTTGTTTATATTATTTACTTATTTTAAGTTGAAAAGTATTATTAAAAAAAAATAATAATTACAACATTAATATAAAAATTAACGATAAGGACAATTATTCTTATATATTGTAATAAACAACAACAAAAAATAGCAATATCAATAATAATGAATAATTCTTATTAAAAAAATAATATATTTATCTTATTATTATTTAAAAAATTTTAAATATTATTATTCAATTATTTAAATAAATAAATTCTTAAATTATTTCATTCGTATTTATTCATCTACATATTTTTTATGTATTTATTTATTATTATTATTACTATTTTTAATAAATAAACAAATTAATTTCTTTATTTTAGTAAAAAATAATTTATTTTTTGTATTAGTAATAATAATAATTTTCTATTTTTATAATGTAAAATAAAATAAAATAAAAATATTGTTTTTCTATGTTTGAGATAAAAATAAATAAATAAAGTATTGTAAGAATATTGGACAAAATTATTTATAATCAGGGAATAAACGATTAGAAGAAGAAAAATTTAAAAAATAATTAATTTTGAATAAAAACATAAATATTTTTATTTAAATAACAATTAATTTGAACAAAAACAAAAATAGTTTTTTTAAATAATAATTTTAAATAAACTGAAGGAATGAAATGATAAAAATTTTATTAAAATAAAATATAATAAAATTTAAATTATTTAATAAATTTCTTTTTTAAATTATTATTTTAGAAAAACAATTAAAAGAATGAGAGAATAGAAAGAAAATTAAAAAAAAAATAATAACAAACATTTTTTTTTTACAGAAAATAAATGAAATTTTGTTAATCAGTATTTTTTAAAAAATATTTTTACAGAAAGGGAAAAATGCCAGGAATTTTAGAAAAAAACAAAGAAGCAATTCCCCTCGTTGGAACCACTTTAAATGTGGTAGGAAAATATTATCCGGAAATTTTATCCGACATTAAAAAAAAAGAAGAAGAAAATAAAGATGAAAAAAAATTAAATTCACAATCAAAACGAATTATCGAAATTCGTAATAATAATAATAATAATCATTGTGAGCAAAATAAACAAGGAGCACATGGTCATTTGGAAACATTGAGGCAAAGGATACGAACAATAGAAATTCTCTTTCCCGATTTATTTCAAGAATCTCAGGAAGAGAGAACAAGAAGAAGAATATTTTGAAAAATCTATTTATTTCCTTTTATATTCTCTCTTTGTTTGTTTATTTGTTTTTTCTTCTTTTCAAATTAAAAATAATATTTTTCAACGAAATTGAAAATTATCTAAATCTTGTTGGAAAGGAAGTTTTTTTTTCAGAACAAGAACATAAATAATTTGTTATTTATATTATTTATATAAATTATATACTGTAAAAAGCTTATATTACAAGCTTTGTGATATATTAATTTGCAAATTTTAAATTTAAAACAGAAAAAGTATTTTTTTATTGTTTTAAATAATGTATGGCTATTTGTTCGGTGCGTTGTTAAAAACGTGTTTTTTTTCTTTGTTAATTGTTATTTTTTTTTAAATTAAAAAAAAATTATCAACATAGGATTAAATATGTAAAGATGAATATAAATTATAGAATTAATTCTCCTATGTAAATATGGGTACAAATAATGTTGCAATTTTTTAATGCAGCTGTTGGGTCAATAAATTCAATAAATTGTTATGTAATTTTAATTTACGAAAGTGAAAAAAAAAATTCTTTTAATATTCATTCAACCTTTTTCCCCCTAAGTTATGCTTTAATTTTTCATAATTTTATTTTTTTTTTATTAGTAATAGTAAAAAATATTTTTTATGATGTTTATATTGTAAAAGTTATAAAATAATTTTTATTTTATGTTTATTAAACTATTCATTTTATTATTAATAAAATACTCATTTTATAAATATAAAAATATAAATAATTACTATTTTGAAAATAATTTACTATAATATAAAGAGTTATTTTGGAATGAAATTTATAATACTTGAAATATTGGAAGTAGTTTAGGATAATAAAATTATTTACTACTGGAAGTAATTTACAATAAAAAAAAATAGTTATTATTGAAAATAATTTGTAATAACTAAAATAATTATTACTGAAAAAATTATAACAACAAAAGTAGTTATTATTATAAATAATAGTTTAATAAAAATAATAATAATTTTTTAAAATAATGATTAAAATTAATCTATAATTAATAAACAGGCAATATAATTAAAAGTAAGTTAAAAAGAATAAGAATTTTTTTTATTAAAAAGTAATTTCTAATAATGAAAATAGTAATATTTTATTTTGATCAACAATTTCATGTACTTTGCCTTGCATTACGTAGGGTAATTAAAAATTCATTTCTGTTTTCAGAATGTAAAGTTATGACAAAAGAAGAAACTAATATTATAAATATTTAAGCTCTGGTTTTACAGTAAAATTTAATATTTTTTAGTATGCAAATTATTTATAATCAAAATTATTTAAGGAACAGAAATGTAATATTATGCAGTCCTATAGAAGATACGATTTATTATTATTTATTAAACATTTTTTCGATTATTTTGTTATTGCCAATTTTTTAATATTTTTTTTTATATATTTTATTTTATTATTGCTAATATTTTGATATTTATTATTACAAATGTTTTTGTATTTATAATTATAAATTTTTTAATATTTATTATTATAAATATTTTTTTATACTTTATTGTAAATAATATTTAATAATTTTTATATTATACACTATATTTTTATAATAAAATCATTTTTTTAACAAGTTACACGTATTATTGTTGAAGTTTTACTTTTCACTTCACTTTCACTTCACTTTTACTTTACTTTGACTCAAAATTGACATAAAATTCACTCTGCTTTCGTTTCACTTCATTTTTACCTCACTTTTATTTATTTTCACATTCACTCCACTTTATCTTAATTTTCAATCAAAACTAAGTTAACATTCACATAAAATTCATTTTAATTTTATTTCACTTTCACTTCATTTCAATTTCACTTTTATACCACATTCACTCCATTGGCACTTCATAAGTGAAGTAAAAATGAGGTGAAAGTGAAGTGAAAGTGAAATTAACGTGAACTGAAAATAAAGTGAAATTAAAATAAAAGGGAATTGAAAATAGATTGAAAGTGAATTGAAAATAGTGTGAAAGTAAAGTGAAGCTGATTAAGTTAAAGTGATATAAAACAAAAGTTTAGGTGGAGTCAATGTGAAGTGAAAATAAATAAAAGCGATTAAAAAATGAAGTAAAAATAAATAAAAGTGAAGTTAAAGTTAAGTGAAAGTGTAATTAAAAATAAGTGAAAGTGATGTGAATCTAAAATTACAATGTGTTACTTTAGATAGTAAAAGTGAAGTGCAATGAGAGAGGTGTAAGTGGAGGGAATATGCAGTGAAAATGAGGTAAAAGTGAAGTGAAAATAAAGTGAAACTGGAGTAAAAGTGATGTGAATATAAATTTAAAGTGAAATAAAATAGAAATGTAAGTTGATTGAATGTGAAGTGAGAATGAAGTGAAAGTGAGGTAAACATGAAGTGAAAGTGAATTGAAAATAAAGTGAAACTCAAGTGAAAGTGGAGTGAAAGTAAAGTGAAAATGGATTAAAAGTGAAGTGAAAGTGGTGACAAAGAAAAAAGGAATGTAAAGTGAAAATGAAGTGAAATTAGTGTGAGAGTTAGGTAAAGTTAAGTGAAAGGGAAGTGAAATAGAAGTGTAAGTGAAAATGAAGTGAAAATAAAGTCAAAGTGGGGTGAAAGTAAAGTGAAAATTGATTAAAAGTGAAGTGAAAGTGGTGACGAAGAAAAAGGTGAAGTGAAGTGAAACTAAAGTAAATGTAAGGTGAAAGTAAAGTGATATGGTGAATAAAAAGTGAAATTAAATTAAAAGTGAAGTTAAAGTTAAGTGAAAGTGATGTGTATATAAGATTAAAATAAAGTGAAAGTGAAGTAAAATAGAAGTGTAAGTTAAGTGAATGCGGTGTGAAAATGAAGTGAAAGTGAATTGAAAATGATGTGAAAATAAAGTGAAAATAAAGTGAAAATGAAGTTACTTGGAAGTTTAAATGAAGTGAAAGTGGAGTGAATGTCGATAGAAGTGAAGTGAAAATAAAATAAAATTGAAGTGAAAGTGTAGATAAAGTGGAGGAGAGAAGGAGAATTAAAATAGAAGTGTAAGTGAAGTGAATGTGAAGCGAAAGTGAAGTGAAGTGAAAATAAAGTGAAGTTAAAATGAAAGTGTAGTCAAAGTGAAGTGAAAGTGATTTGAATATAAATTTAAAATAAAATCAAAGGGTATAACAAAATAGAAGTGCAAATGGAATGAACGTGATGTAAAAATAAAGTAAATGTGACGTGAAAATTAAAACTATCAATTTTTTCATCCATCAAATTTAGGATCCCCTTTACCACAAAGTATCTAAATAAATTTATTATTATTTCTCAATTAAAATTTTCATCAACCAGAATTTATAATCTCCATATACAAACAATATATGTACTTTCGAGTGAATCTGTTTCAAGGATACAAGTGTAGACATGCATTCTGACCCAGCGATAAGAATACTTTCCTCAATTTAATTTCTTTTAATATTCAAAAGATTACATCACATGTGCATTATGTAAACTTTTTTTTAACTGATAATTTCTAATGGAGAAAGTTTTCTCAACATTAAAGACGCGAATATAATTTCAGAAGTAATCTGTTTCCGATAAACTGACATCATCAAATATTGAAGATTAATTCTAAGGTAGGCAATTTACAACTAAGGGAAATGGTTATTTATTTTAGCGCTTTTGCCTTTGTAGAATATTTAATCGCAAATGCAGATGAATTGTTTAAGTTGCCCCACGCCAATTACAAGTGGGGTGACATTGGCATCGACATGTGGCGGTGCATCCTTTTTAATATTCATGGGAATATTGGAGACTATTATTCGAAAACAGTGTGACCTTGAGGATCCATGTCATCGTATTAGGCCACGTGAAAAGGCTAATTTGAGGTCATTTTACAATTTTTGTAATTTCGAGGCTGGATGCTATAAGGAGATACGCGCCATATTAAGTGAATGGCCCCGAATCCCCTTATAGCATCCAGCCCCTAAATTATTATTTATTTTTACTACAATTCGAAAATTTATTGCAGTTATGATTTTATTGTCATTGGATCTGGAAGTGCAGGTGCTGTTGTTGCTTCTCGTTTGTCAGAGGAAAAAAAATTTTCTGTTTTACTACTCGAGGCGGGATTAGATGAACCAGCTTGGACGCAGTTGCCTCCATTTTATATGAACACCCTTCGTACGAAATTAGACTGGCAGTATAAATTTGTCAACGACGAAGTTGAATGTACAGATGAAAATGATTCCCGATGCTACTGGGGCAGGGGAAAGGTTTCCAATTTTTATTTTTGTCAAGAAAAAAAAAAAGAATTGAATAATTTGTTTTGATATCATTTTAGGTTCTTGGCGGTAGTAGTTCAATTAATGGAATGACGTACGTTAGGGGTTCTCGTAAAGATTTCGACGATTGGGAGAAAATGGGAAATAAGGGTTGGTCCTTTAAGGATGTACTTCCCTTTTTCAAGAAGAGTGAGAACAATTTGCAGATGGATAAACTAGATCCCGACTATCATAGCGAAGGAGGACCCCTACCAGTAACACAATTCAATTACCATCCGCCAATGAGTTACGATATTTTATCGGCTGCTAAGGAATTTGGTAGACTTTAAAAACTTAACCTAGATTTAAAGATTTATCTTTTAAAGATTTATCTTTAAAAAATTTATCTTTAAATCTTTAAAAATTTATCTTCATAATTCGAAATTTCAAGATTATGACAACGTCGACGTGAATGGTAAAACCCACACCGGATTTGCAATCGTCCAAAGTACATACAGTAAAGGAAGTCGTCAATCTACTGCTCGGGCATTCCTAAGACCGGCTAGAAATCGTCAGAATTTACACATTATGCTAAATGCAACTGCCACTAGAATTATTTTCAACAATAACAAAAGTGCCATAGCTGTTGAATTCTACAAGAATGGACAATTCACCAAAGTTGGAATTAACAATGAAGTCATCATTAGTGGAGGTACTGATGAAAACTGTGTTTGTGGTGACAAATTTCAGGTGGTGCTGTTTTTCTAAATTCTATTCCCTTTTTTCAACAGGTATAGTAAATTCTCCCCAATTGCTACTGAACAGTGGAATCGGACCCAGGGAAGAATTAGAATCAATTGGAATTCCAGTAATTCATCATCTTCCTGGAGTTGGGAAAAATTTACACGATCAGGTTCTCTATCCTTTAGCATTTTCCACTAATGAAACGATAATTAACGATCTAAATTGGGCATCAGCTATGGAATATTTTCTCTATAGAAAAGGTCCCCTAAGTGGTCTAGGTAATTCTATCCTCCACGTAAAATACTTTACTTAATGAAATACTTATTAAAGATGCAATTCGATTTACAGGAATAATGGCCATGACGGGTTTGATAAATACAAAGTTTGCCAAACCTGAGGATGATAATCCGGATATACAATTATTTTTCGGTGGTTTTATGTCGACTTGCTCACAGAATGGAAGTATTGTTAATAATTCAACGTCGAGGAAACAAATGAAAATCCTACCCACTGTCATTCGTCCAAAGAGTAAGGGTTATTTGAAACTAAAGAATAGTGATCCTCTTTCGAAACCGTTAATCCATCCGAAATATTTGTCTCATCCTGATGATGTTGCTGTCATGGTCGAGGGAATTAAGTTCATTCTTCGATTCGTCAAAGCTGAGAGTTTAAAAAAGTATGTAACTTTTTGGACAAATTTTCTTCAAGTATGGCAAAGTTATCGGAGTTATTTTAACTTTTAGGTATGATATCCAATTGGAGAGGACAGAAATTAAAAAATGCGAACATTTGGAATTTGCCAGTGATCCCTATTGGGAGTGTGCAGTAAAGCAGGACAAAAATCCAGCTTATCATCAAGCTGGTTCGTGTAAAATGGGTCCAGACTCTGATGAAATGGCGGTTGTCGATAATGTACTCAGGGTGAGGGGTCTCAAAGGTATTAGAGTTGCTGATGCTAGCATTATGCCAGAAGTGACTTCCGGTAATACGAATGCTCCAGCAATTATGATTGGTGAAAGAGCTGCGGATTTCATTAAGACTAAATATCATCGGAATCATTGACGCTTAGTCACTTACCATATAGAATTAAAATTAAATCTCCATGGGTACCAAAAAATGTAAGGTCCCTAACACGTTCTAAGAATATCCCAAGACCTAAAGACTTTCTAGAAACATTTCTAAAATGTTTGTGTAACAGGAAATTATTGTGGTCTGAATGTTACAAAATTTATCCATGTCGACTATTAATTAGAAGATCGAGGTGCATGTGAATTATTTTGAACCCGGTCGCGTGAGGTGTGGAATCTTTGTTTTAATTATTTTAATTTCAATATAAAAAGATTCTGTTTCATGTTTCTAGAAAGAATTTAGGGCAACCCAGACATTTCTATATCTAGGTCAGAAGATACTACGGACCATTTACTCTAAACAAACCCCATTCCTTTAGGAAATGAAAAAAGTGACTACCTTTTTCATTTCCTAAAGAAATGGGGTTTGTTTAGAGTAATCCCGAACATTTTAGAACATTGAAGAAATCCTAAAGACCACTAGATTACTTTTATACTCTACAGTATTGTAAAGATCAGAAATTAACCAACTTTCAGTTCATCGAATTCATTTCTTATGCAAAAAAAATAATTTTACATAATTAATTCAATCGCTCCATTAACCTGAATTCTAATCTACATTTTTTGTACTACATTACCATGAATTATGGATATTTAAAATAAATCTCCGATTCTGTATAAATTCATAAGCCTTTGTAACTCATTATTTATTCCACTAAATAGATAATCATTCCGGTTTGTATATTTTAGAAAATAATTTTCAATACACTAGACAATGCCGTATAAATATTGAAGAAAATAAAAATTTTGAGTTCGATCACAAAATTTTATTATCTTGAGTCAGTCAATTCAAACTTTTGGTTTTTTTTCGTCTAATCTAATAATTTATTATTGATGCTTTAAAATAATGGAGACGAGTTGTGGGAACTGTCCTAAATTGACAACAATAAGTGAAGTCACACTTGCAAGATCATGCGGTGCTACGTCCATCATGTTATTCATGAGTATTCTGGAAATATTTATTCGAAAACAGTGTGACCTGGAGGATCCATGTCATCGTATTAGACCACGTGAAAACCCCAATTCAAGGTTCTTTGTTTTCGTTACTTTTAATTTAATTCCTAGTTTAAAAAATTGATATTCTCTGGAAAAGTAAAATCGAATTTTCAATTAACAGTTATGACTATATCGTTATTGGAGCCGGAAGTGCTGGTTCAGTGATTGCATCAAGATTAACAGAGGATAAGGATCGTTCGGTTTTGCTGATAGAAGCAGGATTAGACGAACCAGCCTGGACGCAAGTACCTTCATTTTTCTTGAATCCAATGCATACAGACTTGGATTGGCAGTATTTGTATGAGGGCGATGAATGTTCAAATGGAAATGAGGCAAGATGTTATTGGCCAAGGGGAAAGGTTACTATTTTTTTGCTCTGAAATAATAATCGTATATAATTTTTTAATTATTTGTGTAGACCAAAATATGAGTTCATTTATTGGAGAAAGTTTATTCTTTAGGTTCTTGGAGGTACGAGTGTCTTAAACGCAATGTTATACAATAGAGGAGCACATCAGGATTTTAACGATTGGGAGAGAATGGGAAATAAGGGTTGGTCCTACAATGACGTACTCCCCTTTTTCAGAAGAAGTGAAAATAATATGCAAATTAATAAACTTGATTCTGGTTATCATAGTCAAGGGGGACCAGTGTCAGTGTCATATTTAAATTACCTTCCTCCAATAGGCAACGATATTTTAAGAGCAGGACAAGAATTAGGTAATTCTCCATACGTCTGCCATCGTTTGGAAAATTTTCACAAATTTTGAAGTGCAAACTCAAATTTCTAACTCATAACTGACTCATAACTTATTTCTAAATCTTATAGGTTACAATACTATTGATATTAATGGGAAAAATCACACTGGATTTGCACTTGCCCAAACCACCTCTAACAATGGCAGTCGAGTATCATCAGCTCGGGCATTTCTTCGACCAGCGAGAAATCGTGAAAATCTACACATTTTAATTAATTCGACAGTGAGCAGAATTCTTTTCGATGGTAACAAACGAGCGACTGCTGTTGAGATCTACAGAAATGGTGAATTTATTCGAGTGAATGTTAATAAGGAAGTCATCGTTAGCGGAGGTGACTATAAAATTCCAAAACTCTCTTATCTTTTGATCTCATTCCCTAGTCAAACTTTTATATTTCTGTTTACTGAAGGAATTGTAAATTCTCCACAAATACTTCTAAATAGTGGAATTGGTCCTAGAGAGGAATTGGAAGCATTAGGCGTCTCAGTCATTCATGATTTACCCGGAGTTGGCAAAAATTTACACGATCATTTAAATTTCCTGCTTAATTTCTCAATCAATGAGACGGCCTACAATGATGTCAATTGGGCAACGGCTGTGGAGTACCTGCTTTATAGAAAAGGCCCCCTTAGTGGCATAGGTAAAAAATTTCTAAACCTATTTTTATATCGCAAAAAAAATTTCCTTTACCAACAAAGACAACCTTTAGTAATCTTACTAACGAATACTTCGTTACAAAGTTTATAAAAATGTAAACCCTTACAGGACTTCTCACAGTCGCTGGATTTATAAATTCAAGATTCGCCCAGGCCCAAGATGATCATCCAGATATACAATTAGTTTTTGGTGGTTATCTGGCAAATTGTGCTCAAAATGGAGAGATTTACAATAATTCTCCTGGAAGACGACAAATTGCCTTTGGGCCAATAGTTGTACGTCCAAGAAGTAAAGGCCACGTGAGCTTGAGAAATAACGATCCACTATCGAAACCTCTAATTTATCCCAGATATTTATCTCATCCTGATGACATTACTATTATGATGGATGGAATTAAATTCGTTCTACAATTGGCTAAAGCAAAAGTCTTAAAAAAGTAAACTAGAAATTCTAATTCCACAAATTATGACCCTAAAAAACACTGATCTAATTATAAAATTAACTTTCGTAGATACGATTTACAATTGGAGATGACTCCAGCGAAAAATTGCCAACATTTGGAATTTGGAAGTGATTCCTATTGGGAGTGTGCAATAAGAGAGACTAAAAATCCAGGTTATCATCAGGCTGGCTCTTGTAAAATGGGTTCCGATACTGATCCACTTGCTGTTGTTGATCATTTACTCAGAGTAAGAGGTATCCAAAATGTCAGAGTTGCGGATGCTAGTATTATGCCTCAAGTTACTTCATCAAATCCAAATGCCGCTACAATGATGATTGGCGAAAGAGCTGCGGATTTTATAAGAAAATTTACAATTTAGAAATCTATCATTACTAATTTTTTCAGAAAACTGAAAAGTTCCTCAAGTATCACCTTGAGAAATCAAGAAGCTAACCGCGCATTCAGAATTTGTAATTCATTTTCTTTAGCCTTTTGAATTAATGTGCCAACAGGAACAATATTATTTCACACAGTGTTAAAATAATCTTCATTTATAATTCTACACCGAAAATTAAATAATTGTTACAAAAAAATATTCCCTCGAAAAAAATTAAATCGAATAAAAATACATTTTTCCTCATTATAATCTCTTATAATTTGTAATTGTTTGCATTCGACTTCCACCAGTCGCGAAAAATTGCTAATATATTTGCAAACATTGTAATTTTTGTCTCTTTTAACAGCTTTATCATTGCCAGATGTTATTTAAAGGAGGTATTCTTCTTTTTTATCCAAAAAAATTACAAATAAAATTTGTTATAGATTTTGTCCACTTTCAAAATTTTAATCTTATTTAAATCAAAAATTATTTCAATAAAAATACACTTGACAATAAAAATATGTTTACTGTTTTTAGATAATAGAAATTAGATTAATGGTTTTGCAATATCGGTGTAGATATGAGTTGCATTAATTGTACAGAGCCAATTACGGATGGAACTACTTTGGTATCAACATGTGCAACTGGCAATATTTGGATATTTATGTCAATTTTGGAATTTTTCATTCGCAGACAGTGCGATCTTGAAGATCCATGTGGACGAATAACACCTCGTAATGAACCCGAAAAAAGGTTAAAGTGGTTTGATAATATTTTCTGACTAACACAATTGAACCCCTTGATGCAATAATCAAAGATCATTGAAATTAAAAGGGCTTAGTCTGATTCTTGATGCATCTAGGGGTTCAATTTGCCAAAGGTTTACAGTTTGTCTTAATGTGGACATTGACGAATCTTTCGAATATCCTTAATACTTCTTTAGTAAAGGTTGTGCTTTGAGATCCCCTTGATTAATCTTATGTCCTAAAATCATCTAATGCCCTAAAGAGGAAATTCTTCTAAATATTTCTAAAATTACAGTTATGATTTCATCGTTATTGGCGCTGGAAGTGGAGGAGCGACAGTTGCTTCAAGATTATCAGAAGAAGAACATTTTTCGGTATTACTTTTAGAAGCAGGATTAGATGAGCATGCTTGGAGTCAAGTACCAGCATTATTTCGAAGTATTGTAAATACAAAATTAGATTGGCAACATGTCGGAGATATTGAGGAAACTGGTTGTCTTAATTGGAAGGAAAAAAGATGCGCCTGGCCTGGTGGAAAGGTTTTGATTTTCTATTTCTTATTGTTGCTCAAAATGAAACTAAACATAACCCAAATTATATATATTTAAATTGTCCGGCATCGGTGGTTCAAACCTGATTTATTCACAGAGCGAAAGGCTCTGATATTAAGGGACAGTTTTTAAGAAAGAGTGACTGTTAAATTGAAGTTAAATTATTAAAGTTTTTATTTGAATCCTTTACAATTAGAATCAGGGAGAAAGAGTAAATCCAAATGTCTTTAGGGATATTGAATCAAAATTAGAACTTTGTGGAATCAATCGAGAATTCAAATGGGGACAAAGTTTAGAAGTATTAGTTTCTTATCTTTTAAAATTATTCTTAGAGTCGTAGACCCAACAAGCTTCAGTGTGAGGTCGAAGAAATGATGTTGTCTAGCAAAAACAGAGAATGCAGTAGATTTCCCTCGAATTGTTTTCGGGCCAGCCAAATTGAAAGGTCTGGAGTCGATGTTTGGATGTAAATTAGATAAACCACCTTCAGTCTAGGAGTAACCGAATTATTCATTTAATGTTGAAGTCGAAGTAATGCAGTCCTTAGGAAAATAGAAATGTGCCTAGTAGTAGAAATTATCTCCTTGAATGAACTTGACTAAGACGAGACTCGAAGGGTGCACTTGGTACTTGAAGAGATTTTTGGAACTGGTGTCGAAGAATAAACTCGATGTTTCCTGGACTGACACTAAGAAGACAGGTGTCAGACAATTAAATCGATTTGTTCGGGTTACAAAAAAAAGGATTCAGATTTTAACTTTACAAAATATCAAAGTATAAATGCTTTTTAAGGTCCTGGGTGGCTCGAGTGCTATTAACGGAATGATGTACATGAGAGGTTCCCATAAGGACTTCAACGATTGGGAGAAACTAGGAAACAAGGGTTGGTCCTACAAAGACGTTCTTCCTTTCTTTAAAAAAAGCGAGAACTATTTGGAAATGGATAAAGTTGATCCTGAATATCATAGTGCAGGAGGACCACTATCAGTGTCTCAATTTAGTAATCAACCTCCTTTGGGATTCGATATTTTAAACGCTGCTAAGGAATTAGGTGACTAACAGATTTCTTTACACTGTCGTCCGTTTAATCCCCTTTCTCAATCATTCTATTTTCCCATAGGTTACGATATTGTTGATTTAAACGGAAAGACACACACTGGATGGACAATTGCTCAAAGTACTTCAGGAAGGGGTTCACGGTTTTCAACAGCTCGAGCTTTCCTTCGACCAGCACGAAATCGTCCTAATCTACACATCATGATTAACAGCACTGTGAGTAAAATTATTTTCGACAACACCAAGAAAGCCGTCGCTGTGGAGTTTTACAAAAATGGAAAACTTTCGAAAGTTGGCGTCAATAGAGAAGTTATCATCAGTGCAGGTAACTAATTCTAATCAAGAATCGCATTTTTACTATCTAAGCAAACAGTTAATAGGTGTTAACTGTTTAGGTGCAGTGAATTCGCCACAGATACTTTTAAACAGTGGGGTAGGTCCAAAGGAAGAATTAGAGGCAGTAGATGTTCCAGTAGTTCATAATCTTCCAGGTGTTGGTAAAAATTTCCACGAACATGTAACATACCAAATGGTATATTCAATCAATGAAAAGGACCTAAATGTTTTGGATATTAATTCCGCCCTGGAGTACTTAGTGACTAGAAAGGGTCCCTTATCATCAACAGGTGAATTCCTAGAAGTCCACCACCTACCATTTCAGTATGAACTCTTTCGTAATTCCATTACAATTTTAGGTCTTTGGCAAGTGACAGGAATGATAAATACAAAATATGCCAATCCTAAGGAGGATCATCCGGATATACATGTTATACTCGGAGGATACACAGCAATTTGTTCTCTAAATGGAGTTAATAATAGCAGTGTGCCATCAAGAAGAGAAATTCTAGCACTCCCAATGGTTCTACATCCTAAAAGTAAGGGCTACGTTCGTTTGAGAAATAATAATCCTCTATCGAAACCACGTCTTACTGCTAAATTTTTATCTCATCCTGATGACGTTGCTGTTCTAATTGAGGGAATAAAATTTGTCATCAAGTTAACTGAAACAGAAGTTCTTAAAAAGTGAGTCCAGCAAACAGTCCTTTCCTAGAAGGAAGCTAAATTCGAAAAATCATCAATATATCAAAATTTTAGATACGACTTTCAACTAAACAAGACGCCGGTGAAGAATTGCGAACATTTGGAATTTGGAAGCGATCTCTATTGGGAGTGTGCTGTAAGACATAATACAGCTCCTGGTGCACATTTAGCAGGATCTTGTAAAATGGGACCAAATACGGATCCAATGGCAGTTGTTGATGAAGAATTAAGAGTAAAAGGGGTTCTTGGTGTCAGAGTAGCTGATGCGAGTATTATGCCATTGGTTACATCCGGAAATACAAATGCTCCGACAATTATGATTGGTGAAAGAGCTGCAGATTTTATAAGGAAGTCTTGGAAATCTGATGATTTCAGTAAATAGAAATACAATCCGTCAGTTCTATTCAACAAACAATAATATAGAAAATTGTATTTTCTTTGTTCGACTTTTTTGTGAATTCACATAAAACTGTAAATCTAAATAAATTTCTTTTTACACTCCTTATCATAATTTTCGTTCATTTTTTTCATAAAACCAAATATCATTGTTTAACAGAGTGCTCTATAGTGTTACTTAAGATGTTGCAATTTCTGGTACAATAAATAATGATTACGTAACAATTTCATAAATCTGTGGAAACAGTTTATAAATTTTTTATTCTTTCTTTAATACTGCATAAATATTTGTTTACTTTACTTCCACTTTTTGAGAAAAGTCTCGCAAAATATATTTAAGTTCTTTGAAGATGCCTTGAGTGTTATCACAATTTTACGACATCCGATGCAGTAACATATAAAGGTATTAATTTATTTTCTTATACTACACCAACATAGAAACCTGTAAGGAATCTAGTTTTTATAAACTGAATTCTAGATTTAAAATTTTGTCGAATTATTATAATTATCAAATAAGTTAATAATCTAAATAACTAAAACCGATTTTAATTATTAATTTAATTTAGATGAACTGTAATAATTGTGCATCGCCAATAACAGATGGAACCACATTGGTATCAACATGTACTGGTAGCAACTTTATGGTGTTTATGACAATTTTGGAATTCTTCATTCGCAAACAGTGCGATCTTGAAGATCCATGTGGACGAATAACACCTCTTGATGAACCAGAGAAAAGGTTGAAGTCGTTTTAGAATTTTTTTTAATTTTCCCTTCTTGCAGTGGAAAATGGAATTTATTTCTAAAATTATAGTTATGATTTCATCGTCATTGGTGCCGGAAGTGGAGGAGCGACAGTTGCTTCAAGATTATCAGAGCGAAAAGATTTTTCTGTCTTACTTCTCGAGGCAGGATTGGATGAGCATGCATGGACACATGTTCCAGCGTTTTTTGGAAATACTGTTGGTACGAAGCTAGATTGGAGTCACGTAGGCGAGGTTGAGACTACTGGATGTCTAAATTATCGTGATAGGAGATGCATATGGCCTGCAGGAAAGGTGAGTCTTCAAAGTCATCTGGACTCTAAAACCAAATACTCTTAGAGTGATGAATGAAAAATTTAATAAAAGGTAGAAAAATTAATGATTTCTTTTGAAGATGTTGGGTGGTTCGAGTTCACTTAATGGAATGATGTACATAAGAGGTTCTCGTAAAGATTTCGACGATTGGGAGAAAATGGGAAATAAGGGTTGGTCCTATAAGGACGTCCTTCCTTTTTTCAAGAAAAGTGAAAATAATTTACAAATGGATTTAGTGGATCCGAAATATCATGGGGTTGGAGGACCATTACCAGTGACACAATTTAGTAATCAACCTCCTATGTGTTATGACTTTTTGGATGCTGCACAAGAATTAGGTAATTCTAAATTTCTGAAAACTAATGTGATTGGTACCTAATTGTAAGCTCTGATCAACGATAGGTTACGATATTATCGACTTGAATGGAAAAACCCGTACCGGTTGGACCATTGGTCAGACCACTTCTCGAAGGGGTTCCCGATATTCAACAGCCCGAGCTTTTCTCCGACCTGCACGAAATCGTCCTAATCTTCACATTATGATTAACAGCACCGTGACAAAAATTATTTTCAATGACGACAAAAAAGCAATTGCTGTGGAATTTTACAAAAGTGGAAAACTTATTAGAGTAGGCGTCAAAAAAGAAGTTGTTATCAGTGCAGGTAATTTTCATCAACAGTAATCTAAACTCTCGATTCTATTTGGAATGATAATTTTTTTAACATTTTTAACAGGTTGCATGAGTTCACCACATATACTTTTAAACAGCGGTGTTGGACCAAAGGACGAAATAGAAAATGTGGGAGTTAAATCAGTTCATAATCTTCCTGGTGTTGGGAAGAATTTTCACGATCACGTTTCATACATGATGACATTTTCAGTTAATGAAGAAGATGGATACCTACTGGATTGGTCTACTGCCATGAATTACATTCTTCGCAGAAAGGGACCACTATCTTCAACAGGTAAATATTTGCTTGTTCCAAACCACTTTCGTACCCATTTGCTTCCACTGATTCGTAACACTTTATAACTCTGAATCTAGTAACTCTAAATTTAGTAGCTCGAAATTTTGTAACTCTAAATTTTGTCATTTGTCTTATAATTTTAGGTCTTTGGCAAGTGACTGGAATGATAAATACAAAATACGCAAATCCAGAAGACGATAATCCGGATATACAAATATTTGGAGGGTACCCACCAGTTTGTTTCCAGTACGGAAATAATCACGTTAACGTTAATATAACTTCGCGAAGAATAATTTTGTTATTCCCAGAAGTTCTTCATCCTAAAAGCAAAGGATTCGTTAAATTAAGAGACAATAATCCCCTATCGAGGCCAGTTATTAATTCGAACTTTTTATCGCATCCTGATGATATTGCTGTTCTGATTGAGGGAATAAAGTTTGTGATCAAATTGACTGAGACAGAAGCACTAAAAAAGTAAGTCATAATCATTGTTTCTAGAGGGTTCGGTGGAAGGTGACCTAAAGACGCCTTAAGAGTCTTGAACGACGTCAGGAATTCTAACGATATCTTTAGGACTACCTAGATTTTAAAGAAGTCCAAAAGTTTTCCTAGAGACATCTTGGAGATAATCATAATCAAATGACAATGTTTTCACGGTTCGGGACATTTTACACCATCTTTTTTTAATAATTTAATAATTATTTCAACATTTCAGGTACGACTTTCAATTAAACAAGACGTCAGTGAAAAATTGTGAACATTTGAAATTCGGCAGCGATCCCTATTGGGAATGTGCAGTGAGACGTGATACGGCTCCAGGTGCTCATTACGCTGGTAGTTGTAAAATGGGAGCAAATACAGATCCATTGGCAGTTGTTGATGAACAATTAAGAGTCAGAGGTGTTCGTGGCGTCAGGGTCGCTGATAACAGTATTATGCCTCAGGTCGTTTCCGGAAATACCAATGCTCCCGCTATTATGATTGGTGAAAGAGCTGCCGATTTTATCAAGAAAACATGGAAATCACGATAGACGAACAAAAATAAAAATAATAATAACAAAACTTGAATCTATTTCTGTTCTTCCGAAACTATTAGACCTTTATATCCAGAATTAAAATAGTTAATAATTTATATAAGTGTTATTACTTTGTCCTCTAAAAATTTATCTGCTATAGATGACGTTATTTATAAATTAGTTCAGCATCTGTAGTATAATAGTGGATGGAAAATTAATTAAATTGTAATTGTATAACAAGGTAACAAAGTTATCCCAAAATGGAAATAAATCTTAATCATCGGGGAAAATTTCATCATATAAATTTCAATCTTAAGAGAATCGTATAGAGTCTAATGTCAGACATTGCGACGTTGATAGATATCCTTATAACTGGAAATCTGTCTTTTGCTTGACACTTTTGTTATCAGAGGATTATTCATTACCACAAATTTCTCGATTTTCAAAAAGAATAATCTACTTGATTGATGAAAGGTAAGATAAACTTATTAATTTCTGAATTCACTAATTCACTAACTTTTTTAATATTGAAATAATTCTCAACCATATCGGTAATTACAATAATATTTTCTCATTGCCTTTTTGTCAACAGTTTCAATATTAATAATAATAGATTTTTTATTCTAAATAATTGCAAATATTTTTAATTCTTTTCTTTAATACCATATAAAGTGAATGTCCCAGTTCGGAAACTTCTACCAATTTGGACATAGTTGCGTGTGTTTATACAAAATTGCAAATTATCTCGAAGGTCATTTAAAAACAATGTCTTTAGTATATAACTTAACCGACAGTTTAGTAATTATCTGCATGTTTAGATATTATTTATAATTATAATTAGAAACATGAGAAAATAACTAATTTTCCTTTTAGAATTTAATATCTACTTGAAATTGTTTTATAAAAATAAATTATTTTTTATATTCAGTATAAAAATTATACCAAATTGTTTAATTCCAACTGCTTAAAGAATATATTGAAAAGTATACTATTCACAAAGAAAATTCAACTGCCTTTGTTATCGTTCACACTCAAAGTCTAAGAAAATGTAATAATTTATTTTTAACAGGAAACATTCGGTTAACAACTCTTGAACTACGATAAATTCTCTCTTAAAGCCATTTACCAGCAAAAAGACGATAAAAACGTAAAATTAAGGTAAATTTATTGTAATAAAACTTAATACTCTTATTTTGAAAAAAATTTAATTCTGATTTTAGAAGGTCGCTATTTAATTCATTATTTTAAACATTTTATTTATTCATTTATTTTTACTTTTTCCTCATAAGTCCCTCAAATAATTTTAAATGACATCAAAAAAATTAAAAACAAAAATTATTACACATGAATTTTTAAAAGGATTTCTCTAATTTCTTCCAGAAATTAAAATTAAAAAATCCCAAAATCTTTAAAAATATATATATTTAAAAAAATACTTAAATGAACATCCCAGTAAAAAAAAACTAATTCAAATGAATTGAAACGAATTAACATTTTTGGTAGGCTCCAATTCGTATTTGTCACAAAGCGGGATTCACTCAAGCTCTTTGTATATTCAATTGAATTTAATTCAATATGTACCAATTTGTCCAAACGAATTCGCATTCGAAAGAAATGGCCAAGGAATGCATTGAATTCGTGCTAACGAATTGAAAAAAATTAAAGGCTCAAAACTTGTCCAGTGAATTGGTACGGATAGAAGGTTCGGAAGTTCAATACAGTTTCACGAATTCAGGAAAATTGCATCATGGCTCCAATTCGTATTTGTCACAAAGCGGGATTCACGAAAGCTCTTTGTGAATTCTTTTTAATTCATTTCAATTAGTTTTCGTTTACTGGGATATATAAAAATATTTTTCCGATGCTTTACTGTTTGAATATCTGAATAGGGAAATATTGCATAAAACAACAATTTGTAAATTAAACAATATATTTTTTTCCTCAAGAAAAAAAATGCAAAACTTTCTTAATAAACAAATAAAGAATAATTTTTTTTAACCTTTGTGAATGAGAATTAACTTCGAGAACCCAGGTAATATTTTCTTTCTCCTTTCATCGCATGCCAGACTATATATAAAAGTATGAAACTTGAAGCGTTACTCAAGCGGGAACGGAAATCTTTCTTTCTCACACCAAAGTATAATAAATAAGAATTTCTTCGTCTAACATTGTACTTCACTATCTCCACAATTCAAAATGACATTAATTATTTATTTAATACTAGCTTTTTATTCATTTAGCCATAAGTTTTCTTGTATGCAAGATATCAAGTTCCGGTTTGTACCAAAATAAAGCTTGACTCTTTCCCTAACTTTTATCTTATTACGAGTATAAGCTAGGATAAATATTTGAGAACGTTTTTTATGATTTTAGGAATGTGATATTTTCAACATGTAAACTTGTTTTAAATTCAAATGGCCATAAGTTTTCTTGTATGCAAGATATCAAGTTCCAGTTGGTATTAAAATGAAGCTTGACTCTTTTCCTAACTTTTATCTCATTACGAGCATAGGCTAGGATAAATATTTGAGAACGTTTTTTATGATTTTAGGAATTTAAAATTTCCAGCATGTAAACTTGTTTTGTATTCAAATGGCTATAAGTTTTCTTGTATGCAAGATATCGAGTTCCGGTTGGTACCAAAATGTAGCTTGACTCTTTCCCTAACTTTTATCTCCTTACAAGTATAGGCTAGGATAAATATTTGAAAACGTAATTTATGATTTTAGGAATTTGATATTTCCAACATGTTAAATTGTTTCGAACTCAAGTGACCATACATTTTCTTCTATGCAAGATATCAAGTTCTGGTTTAAACCAAAATGAAGCTTGACTCTTTCCCTAACTTTGATCTCATTACGAGTATAAGCCAGGATAAATATTTGAGAACGTAATTTACGATTTTAGGAATTTAATATTTCCAACATGTAAACTTGTTTTGAATTCAAATGGCCATAAGCTTTCTTGTATGCAAGATATCAAGTTCCGGTTGGAACCAAAATGAAGCTTGACTCTTTCCCTAACTTTTATCTCATTACGAGTATAGGCTAGGATAAATATTTGAGAATGTTTATACAGATGAACTGCAGTTACTGTCCCCTGCCAGTGACGAGTCATGTCACATTGGCATCATCCTGCGGTGGTAGTGCCTTCTTATTATTTATGGGACTATTGGAAACTTATATTCAAAGACAGTGTGACCTTGAAGATCCATGTCACCGTATCAGACCCCATGAAACCCCCAATTCAAGGTAATCATTTCGTTAATTACAACTTTCAATTCATACTACAATTCAAAGGTTGTTCCACAGCTATGATTTTATCGTAATCGGTGCCGGAAGTGCAGGTTCAGTAGTTGCTTCGAGATTATCAGAGCAAAAAGATTTTTCTGTCTTACTACTCGAGGCAGGATTGGATGAACCAGCCTGGTCACAAGTACCATCATTTTACTTAAATACCCTACGAACAGAATTAGATTGGCAATATAATTATGAAGGTGAGGAATGTCTGAAGGATAACAAATTATCGTGTTCTTGGCCGAGGGGAAAGTTAAGTATCACCTTTTTTTGAAATTAATATTCATTATCTACTATGAAAATCTTTTACACGTTTAGGGGCAAAATCTAAGATTAATTCTGCAATTTAAATTCAAAAGGTTCTTTGATTACTCTTGAGCATTAGTTGCTCTTGAACAACTAATGCTCAAGAGAGATCGAAGAACCTTTTGGCTTCTACTATTGGGAATTATGACAAAAGCTTTTCCAGATTAAATCATAGAATTATAATTATGTTCAGGTACTTGGTGGTACAAGTTCAATAAATGGAATGATCTACATTAGAGGATCGCGAAAGGATTTCAATAATTGGGAGAAACTGGGAAATAAGGGTTGGGCATACAAGGACGTACTTACCTATTTCAAGAAGAGTGAAAATAATCAGCAAATTGATAAAATGGATACCGGCTTTCACAGTCAACGTGGACCCTTATCTGTCACACAATTAAATTATCATCCTCCGATGTGTTACGATATTCTAAAGGCTGGAAAAGAATTAGGTAAACTAATTGCAATAGAAAAAAAAGTTCTCTTATCTAATTTCTAATTTCCTACTAAAGGTTACAATACAGTCGATGTTAATGGAAAAGTCCACACCGGATTTGCAATTATTCAAAGTACAACGGACAGAGGTAGTCGATTTTCATCTGCTAGGGCATTTCTAAGACCTGCGAGAAATCGTCAAAATTTACACATTATGCTGAATTCAACAGCGACGAGAATTATATTCAATCATAATAAACGAGCAATTGGTGTCGAATTTTACAAAAATGGAAAATTTATGAAAATTCGAGTTAACAAAGAAATTATTATTAGTGGAGGTAATAGCTGCTGTCTATATTCTACCGAAAATATTTGGTATTAAGTTGTTGTTTTTTCTAGGAATAGTCAATTCTCCACAGTTGCTAATGAACAGTGGAGTTGGGGCCAAGGAAGAATTAGCATCAGTTCGTATTCCACTGGTTCACGATCTTCCAGGTGTTGGGAAGAATTTACACGATCATGTTCTATTCCCTCTGGATTTTACCATCAATGAAACTGAATTTAATAACCTAACTTGGGTTTCAGCTTTGGATTATCTTCTATTCAGGAAAGGACCTTTGAGTGGCATAGGTAAAGTTCATCCAAAAGTCATCTAAACCTGAAAATAAAATTTATTTCCCCCTAGGTATTTCGACAATAACCGGACTTGTACATTCAAAATACTCGAATCCCCAGGATGATCATCCGGATCTACAGATATTTTTCTCTGGCTATATGCCAAGATGTTCGGAAAGCGGAGAAATTACAGGAAATTCAAGTGTTCGAAAACAAATTAGATTCGTTTCGACTGTTATTCATCCGAAAAGTAAAGGTTTTCTACGATTGCGAAATAGTGATCCTCGTTCGAAACCGCTGATCTACCCAAAATATATGACTCATCTTGAAGATATCAATGTTATGATCGAGGGAATTAAGTTCATGTTACGATTAGCTGGAACAAGGGCTCTAAGAAAGTAGGTTACCGAACATTTTTTTGGGTAAATTACTTGGAAACAAAAAACAATTTTGCTTTTTTCAGATATGACTTTCAGTTGGACAGGACACCGGTGAAAAATTGTGAGCAGTTGGAATTTGGAAGTGATTCCTATTGGACGTGTGCTATAAAACATAAGAGAAGTCCTGGTTATCATCAAGCGGGATCTTGTAAAATGGGTCCTCATTCGGATCCAATGGCAGTGGTTGATAATCATTTGAAAGTTAGAGGAATTAGAGGTGTTCGGGTTGCGGACGCTAGTATTATGCCAGAAGTCACTTCTGGAAATACTAATGCTCCTTCTATTATGATTGGTGAAAGAGCTGCCGATTTCATTAAATTTAGTTGGAGGAGTTTCAAATACCAGTGATGCAATCAACAACAAAAGGGATGGTACAGTTATTACGTACGAAGTACCTATTTTTTTATTAATACTACAGAAGATAAGACAAATTTTTAACTCATCAATTAATAGAAGTTATGGACTTTACTGATCAAGGGACATCCATAAGAAGCCACACAAAATTTTATCCCATCGAAACAAGGACCAGAAACTTGTGGCGAAATTTCCATTATTGCTGTACAATTTTTCTCTTCAAGCGAAACAAAACCTTCGACCTGGCAGATCTTTCACAAAATAAATTCTGTAATTTGTGAAAAAAAATGTGGTTCCTGCCTTGCCAAACATTAAAATTAAGACCTAAGTAATATTCCTAGTTTGTATTAACCAAAAGTGTTGAGGAAAATAAAAAAAACTGGAACATAAAATTTTTTTTATATTTCGCAAAAATAACAAGACATAAAAATTTTAAAGTAAAAAAACAATTTTGTTGCACTGCAAATTATTTTTAAATACTCTTTCCTTAGTATAATCTTATACAATTACTAAATGTTTACATTTTTCCTCCTTATTATATCGAGAAACAAAATATATTTTTATTTTAAATTTGCAAATCTTTTAGAGTCTTTAAAAAATTGTTCCTGATTAGGTAAAATTATTAAAAGGTAGGTATTTACTCTAAATATGAAATGTAAATAATATTTTGACAACTTTTCGTCTTAAAAGAGAATAAATAGGAAGCCAATGGTGAGTAATTGAAACTGTCTATAAAATTTTAGATGAGCTGTAATAATTGTCCATCGCCAATTACGAATCAAGCTCCTTTATCATCGACATGCCCGGGTGTAGTCTTCGTCTCATTTTTATCAGTTTTAGAATTATTCCTTAAAAAACAGTGTGATCTTGAGGATCCTTGTGGACGAATAACACCTCGTGATGAACCAGAGATAAGGTCAAACTTACTTTATAAATATTTTACTTGCTCTTACTAAATTCATCTTTGAATTACTTTCAAATAATAATGAAGTTATTACAGTTATGATTTTATTGTCATTGGAGCCGGTAGTGGAGGTGCAACAGTTGCAGCAAGACTATCAGAAGAGAAATGTTTTTCTGTTTTACTATTAGAGACAGGGTTAGATGAAATATCATGGGGTTCGGTACCAGCACTTCCAATAGCATCGACATCATTAAATTGGCAACATCGTGGTGAGGTTGAAAAAAACTCCTGTCTTAATAAGAAGGAGAAAAGATGTACATTCTGTGGAGGAAAGGTTATAATTTTTCCGTTTGAATCAGTTTGAAATTAAATATTTCTACAGAGATATTTCGAAATTACTAATCGAGATGGAGATTTTTGTTACCCTAGGTTCTTGGTGGCACGAGTTCAATTAATGGTATGATGTACATGAGAGGATCGCATAAGGATTACAACGATTGGGAGAAATTGGGAAATAAATACTGGTCTTATGAGGATGTTCTTCCATTTTTTAAGAAAAGTGAAAATAACATACAAATTGATGAACTAGATCCTGTCTATCATAGCAAAGGCGGACCCTTACCAGTATCGAGATTTAATTCCCAACCTCCAATGACACCTGACATTTTAGAAGCTGCTAAAGAATTAGGTAATTTCGAAATTTGAAAGCTATGGAAACATTATTGTTTTTCTTTTTTTCCTGCTTTATTTTCCCAACTGGGTTCTATTTCTCAGGTTACAACACTGTCGACTTGAATGGAAAAACGCACACTGGTTGGATGGTTGCACAAACCACTACTAATAAAGGCTCACGTTATTCAACAGCTCGAGCATTTCTACGACCTGCTCGAAGTCGTTCTAATCTACACATCATGATTAATAGCACAGTGACTACAATTGTTTTTGATGACCATAAAAATGCCGTTGCTGTGGAGTTTTACAAAAATGGAAGACTTTTTAAAGTGGGAATTAAAAAAGAAGTAATTGTTAGTGCAGGTAAATAATAGCCGCAAAAACTATTCTCTTTTTCTAACACAGATATTTAAGTGTAGTCCTCCGTAACTAAAAACACTATTCAATTGTATTTCTAACTTCTTATTCAGGTGCAATAAATTCACCTCAGATATTGATGAATAGTGGAATTGGTCCCAAGGAAGAATTAGAAAAAGCAAAAGTACCGGTAGTGCATAATCTTCCGGGTGTGGGAGAAAATTTCCACGACCATGTACAATATCTCTTGCCAATGACAATTAACGAAAAGGAAGTAAGTGCCTATGATTGGGCCTCAGTTTCGGAGTACCTACTAAATAGAAAAGGACCACTTTCCTCAACAGGTGAAGATGATTTAATAAGTCCATTCTACTAATTATCTAATTTAATAATTCTAATGGTTCTCGATTCGGAAAAAGGTGGTTGGCAAGTAACTGGAATGATAAACACAAAATTCGCAAATCCCGAGGATGATCATCCGGATATACATATGGTTTTCGGTGGTTATGAAGCTTCCTGTCCCAAGCCCCCAAACACTAACCCGGGAGTAAATTTACGAAGACCAGTATCCATAATGCCAGTTGTTTTACATCCAAAAAGCAGGGGATATGTTCGTCTGTCAAACAACAACCCCCTCTCAAGACCACTGGTCACTGCTAATATTTTCGACGATCCTAATGATGCTACAGTACTGGTAGAGGGAATTAAATTTGCCATTAGGATGACAAAGACCAGAGCTCTTGCAAAGTAAGCACATAGGGATACTGACAATAAATTCATTTCTATTATTTCATTGTGTTTATAATTCCTAAAGTAACTTGAAATAATTAAATACTTTTAGGTACGACTTTCAATTAGACAAGACACCGGTGAAAAATTGTGAGCACTTGGAATTTGGAAGTGATCCTTATTGGGAGTGTGCTGTAAGACATGATACATCTACGGGTGGACATTATTGTGGATCATGTAAAATGGGACCCGATTCAGATCCAATGGCAGTTGTTGATGATCATTTAAAAGTTAAAGGTGTTTGGAGGGTCAGGATTGCGGATACCAGTATTATGCCGCGAGTTACATCCGGAAATACAAACGCACCGGCAATTATGATTGGCGAACGAGCTGCACATTTCATTAAAATGAATTGGATGCCAGAATATTGTTCACACTTAAATTGAGAATATCCTGAAAATGACAAGAGAACGAAAGGATCGACTGGTTGATGGTTGGGGACATTGTTGTTTTCACAGAGAGAATTTTGTATCATTAATAAAAATCATTGAACGAAATCGACTGTTTGATTCGATTCCTTGTCATTTTGATGCACTATTCAGTTACTCTTTCTCCACTATCAAGAATCTTGTACATTCTTGATATACCAAGTATTTAGGGGAATTTCAGAGGGGCATTTTACTGAAGGACATCCAAACAGCAAGAATGAAGTCTTATAACGTTTACTAAAAACTAGCTTGTAATGGTTAAAGATATTTACCAGAGATAGTTTTGAAGAAAATAACCAAGTAATATTAGCTTTCACAATTTAATATTCCACGAACTTTCCTCTACTTGTTTTCATAAAATGTTTCCCAAAAAATATGGTGCTATCTCCGAACGGTCAAAATCACTAAAAAGAACTGAAAACTGTTCAATGTTCAAACCATTGTCTGTAAGACAGCCATGCAAAACTGGTTGCCGCTTCACTCATTTAAAATTCATTACATGTAGCTTTAACATTGTAAGTAAATTCAATTGTATAAATTATACTATCAATAAATATTAACATTGTAAAAAGGAATATGCATATGATAATTTAACGAGAACCTAATCTTTTAAGGTTACATGAATCCACACTTAAATATAAATATCAAGGATATCAATAAGATTTCCCAAATTGACTAATTAGCAATTTGTCTCCCTTTTGTTATTCATTTAATAAAAGCACCCTCGGAGCCTAACATAAGTAGACAAACATTTTTTAGAATTATTATCATTATAGGCGCAATCCATACTGGTAATGTGATTCCTAAAATCTTTGGCCCCTAAATACAAAGTAGTATTATGCAATATGCTTATTTCTCTTTCTAATTAATATTTACAATTATGCAATTGAAGAAAATTATACAATGTATACTTTTTTTAATCTATTTTGCATTGCATATTCATAAGGAAATAATCTACAATTAATCTCTTACAATGTTAACTTTAACTACAATGATATTTTGACAATTCAATAGTAATATTACTGTTCTATAAGGCAAGTAAATTCTCTTCTTTTTGTAGTAAAAATTATATATTAAACCTTTAATAAGTTTATAGATATGAAGCTGAAATTGGCATCGAATCAATTTTTAAATACGTTAGTTTCAAACAAAAAGAATATTTATCTTTAAAATTTACCCAGTTATTAGGGTAGCAGTTTCAGAGTTCATTTATACAATTATATCTATTGTAGTGTAACTGATACTAATTTTATTGTATTTTAGTAATTTATTTATAATTAAATACAACAGTAAAGTGTCCGAAAAATTTCTAAATTACTAATTATTGAGTTCAATTTAATAATTGACGAATTATAATTATTTTTGCAAAGATGGAGACAAATTGCTCTTCACCAGCCACAAGTCAAGTTACTTTGGCATCAACATGTGGTGGTCCAACTTTTTTATTGTTTATGGGAATTTTGGAGACATATATTCGAAGACAGTGTGATCTTGAGGATCCTTGTCACCGAATCAGACCACGTCAAACCCCCAATTCAAGGTAATCATTTCGATGATGTGGTAAAATTAATAATAACTATAGTTAGTTATATACGTATTCACAATTATTATTGATTACAGTTATGATTACATTGTGATTGGAGGAGGAAGTGCTGGTTCGGTAGTAGCCTCGAGATTATCAGAACTAAGTAGTAAATCAATTTTACTTTTAGAGGCAGGGTTAGATGAACCAGCATGGCTACATGTACCATCATTGTACGTTAATTCAATTCATTCGAATATAGACTGGCAATATAGTTTTCAAAGTGAGAACAATGATTGTTCTAATGAAAATGCAGCACAGTGTTACTGGCCTAGAGGAAAGTTAAGTATAGCCTTTCTTTGAGATTATTATTCATCATCTACTATGAAAATCTTTTATACGTTTAGGGGCAAAATTTTGACTATTAATTCTGCCATCTGAATTCAAAAGGTTCTTCAATTACTCTTGAGCAACTAATGCTGAAAAGTAAACGAAGAACCTTTTGACTTCTACTATTTGTTGGAAATTATGCCAAAAGCTTTTCCACATTTTTTAAAATTATTATTCATCATCTACTATGAAAATCTTTTACACGTTTATGGTCAAAATCTACTATTAATTCTGCAATTTAAAGTCAAAAGGTTCTTCGATTACTCTTGAGCAACTAATGCCCAAGAATAATCAAAGAACCTCTTGACTGCTTTTTTTTGTTGGAAATGATGCCAAAAGCTTTTCCAGATCAATAAATCAGAATTGTAATTATGTTCAGGTTCTTGGGGGTACAGGTGCAATTAATGCAATGGTGTACATAAGGGGAGCACATCGAGATTTCGACAATTGGGAGACAATGGGAAATAGCGGTTGGTCCTTTAAAGACGTGCTTCCTTATTTCAAAAAAAGTGAGAATAATTTACAAATGGACAAAGTTGATTCCGAATATCATGGTCGTGGTGGTCCACTGCCTATAACGCAGTTCAATAATCATCCTCCAATTAGTAATGACATTCTAAAAGCTGCTAAAGAATTAGGTAAACTATTCCACATCTCCGATTTATTAAAGTGTTACACCCTGAAGTTTTTAAGTTAATCTTTTGAATTTTGTATTTTCTATTCTTATGAGTTTAAAAAAAAATTAAATTGTAGGTTACGATAATCTGGACGTAAATGGAAGGAATCACACAGGTTTTTCAACTGTTCAAACAAATACAAAAAAAGGTAGTCGTTATTCAACAGCACGTGCATTTCTGAGACCTGTCAGAAATCGTCAGAATTTACACATCATGCTAAATACAACTGCGACTAGAATTATTTTCAATAATAACAAAACTGCCATAGCTATCGAATTCTACAAGAATGGAAGATTCACTAAAGTTGGAATTAACAAGGAAGTCATCATTAGTGGTGGTAAATGATTATTAGGTTTACAAGTGGTTACAAAACAAGCGAATCTGTTGAAAAGAATTAGAATCGTTCAGAAAATAATGCTTAATGGAAATATTGACTCTTTTCTTTTTCCAAAAGGTATAGTAAATTCTCCGCAAATACTACTGAACAGTGGAGTTGGGCCAAGAGATGATCTAGAAGCAGTAGGTGTTCCAGTGATTCATCATCTTCCCGGAGTTGGTAAAAATTTACACGACCAGGTTCATGTTCCCTTGACATTCACCATCAATGAGACAGACAAAAATGACCTAAATTGGATATCTGTAACGCAATATTTAACTTCTAGAACCGGACCTCTAAGTAGCATTGGTAAAAATTATTTCTGAAGAAAATCATAATGTAGATAAATTAACAGATGGTACAGTTTGATAGTACAAATCCGTAGCTGAATTCACATCAGTTGAGTGATGTTTTAAAAAATCATCTATTTTCAGGTGTTCTACAAACAACAGGTTTTATAAATACAAAATTTGCAAATCCCCAAGAAGACTTTCCAGACATACAAATTAATTTCGTAGGTTATGTGGCGTCATGCTCCGAAAATGGAATGATCAATCAAAATTCAAAATTAAGAAGAACAATTCTAATCCTTCCCGTGGTTATTCGTCCAAAGAGTAAAGGCTATGTAAAATTAAGGGACAACAATCCTCTATCAATGCCTCTGATTTATCCTCAATATATGTCGAATTCCGACGACATTTCTGTGCAAATTGAGGGAATTAAATTTGCCTTTCGATTTGTATCAACACAGGCGCTTAAAAAGTAAACTTAATGTTCTTTAAAAACCCTTTTGTGCCTCTGGGACAAGTGTCCCACTTAGAAAAATTTATCTTATTCTTATAAAAGTCAATCAATTAATTTGCGGTAAATTTCTTTCTATTCCGAATGGACACTGCTACAAATAAAAAAATAATAAATCACGTAGAACAATTATAATTATTATAAATAGGTAAAATATTTATAAGAAATTAGTCGAAATTTAATTTTTGTCAAAATTTCCTCAAATTTGGTTAAAACTTCTTACTCAGGGGTTTTCGGGATCACTGATTAAGAATCTAAAGTTAGATTTTCAAAATTCAAAATAGTGGACGTCTTTTACAAATCGGGTGTTTTCGGGGTCACTATTTTGAATTTTTTAAATCTGACTTCAGATTCGTAATCAGCGACCCCGAAAATCCCCGAGTTGCAAGTTTTATGTAAATTTGAGAAATTTCGAAAAAAATGTCCGCCATATTGGTTCCGCCATTTTAAATTTGAAAAATTTTGAGAAACTGACTTCAAATTCGTAATCAGTGACCCCAAAACCCTTGAGTAACGATAAGTTTCAACAAAATCGAATCACTGGGTTTCTCGGGGCACGAAAGGGTTAAAAAAAACTATTCTAACTGTTTTTTATCGACCTAGTACTAATTTGACGAATTTTTAGGTATGACTTCCAATTTAACAGGAGTACATTCAAACTTTGTGAACATTTGGAATTTGGAAGCGATTCCTATTGGGAGTGTGTGGTAAAAAATTACAAAAGTACAGTAAATCATCAGGCGGGATCGTGTAAAATGGGTCCTGAATCAGATCCAATGGCAGTGGTTGATAATTTATTGAGGGTCAGAGGGGTGAAAGGTGTTAGAGTTGCTGATGCCAGTATTATGCCGGTAGTTACTTCCGGAAATACTAACGCTCCCTCTATTATGATTGGTGAAAGAGTTGTTGATTTTATTAGAAACAATAGATGAACTTTATAGAATCACGATTTACTACTTTTGTTACGTCTAAAAAGTATAAAAATTTATTTTTCCAGCTTCTTGATTTAATTTAATTAAATTAATAATTAATAATGGACTATGTTACCGACATGTCTGTCGACATTTTCGCATAAAAAAATTATAGAATATTATTGAATAAATAATACTTAGTAAGGTATAAAATATTTTTAAAAGATTGCTGCATCTATATTTATAAACAAAAATTCTCGCAATAAAATTGTTTTTTATGTGAAAACCCTAAACCTAATAAAGAACAATTTTCTAAACCGGCAACCGGTACCGGTTTCGAAACATTAAATTAAATGTTATATACATTCCCTGTCCTAAAAAAGTTTAAAATTAAGAATTAAGATTAAAAAAATTTTAAGATGTGAATACAAGAACCAAATACTGCTTTCACCGAAGTAATATCGTAGCCTACTTAAAGGCGCCAATTTTATAATAGGTACTTACAATTTTACCACAGTTTTTAAATGCAACTAAAAAATAAATAATTTATCTTTCTGATTGTAGTAGAATGATTATAAATTGATTAAGTAATAATTAAACCTACTTTTATTTCTATTGTCTTATCTGCGAATGGCAACTCTTTATTAACGTTGCATCCGATCGCCGAAAGATGTCAGGATCAGGACATTAATAAAATCTTATGAATCAAAACGCTATTTGAATTTTATTCCCTAATTACAAAAATTCAATTATGATAAAAAATTAAAAAAAAACACTTTCGTCAAAATTTTAATTATCTATGTAAATAATAAAATTCTTTGCAAAAATTTCATTTTCAACAATTTCTCGTCAAATTTTAATTATGTTTATAAATAATAAAATTCTTCTTTAAAATTCAATTATTTTAATAAAATTCTTAGCAAAAATTCGATTATGTTAAAATTTTTTTTTTTAAATTCTCGTCTAAATTTCAATTATCTTTATGAATAATAAAATTTTTTGCAGAAATTCAATAATTTTCAAAATTTCTTGAAAAAATCTGTTTAAAATTTCAATTATTTTTATAAATAAAAAAATTCTTCTTCGCAAATTTCAATAAAATTCTTTGCAAAAATTCAATTATGATAAAAAATTTTATAAAAATTCTCTTCTAAATAATTGCATGTTTCTTAAAATTGAATTCTCATAAAGAATTTTATCAATAAATTTTTAAATAATTGGATTCTTTTGACGAATTTTAATAAAATTTTTAAGAATAATTAAAAAAAAAGAATTATTATAATTAATTAATTAATTTATTATATATATAATTAATTAATTTTTCTTTTTTCGAGAAATTCGATTAAAATTGTATTGAAAATAATTGAAATTCTGCAATGAGTTTTATTATTTAGTAATAATAATAAGTTTAACTAGCGAGAAATTTTATTCCTAATTTTCGTAAGAAAGGAACAAAATACAAAGCAAATAAATTTTTTATCAATATATAGCTACCTGTCTAAAATTATTATTTTTGCTATATATCAGTCACAGAAATAAATAAAAAAATTTAATTATTTATAAATAAATACTTCCTGAGAGTCTGTCAACGAATCATGCAATAGGAGATGCAATACATATTATATAACATCAAGGTGTATGTCCTGTAAAACAATATAATACGTATATAGTTATTGCTTTGTGGCAGGTATGAGATTTTTATCAGTCTCGCCGTGACAGTGATTTAAATTACGAAATTATTCTTACGTTCATCGAAAGTTAACTCTCAATCATCCGAAACAAAAAAAAATGATCAATTTCTTTATTCTATAAACCTTGGAACATTCCCAATGACCTCGAAAATAATTAAAAATCAATTTTCTATTTAAAATATAATTATAATGACTAGATATTATTTTTATAATTATGACTTTTATTACTGATATTAATTTTTATTATCATTAGCATAATATTGTAAATTTAATTTAACATAAAATTATAAATTTTCTTTATTTTACTGTTCTTATCATTTGTTATTAATTTTTACTATATTATCATTTTTATTTTTTTATTTTCTTTATTTTTATTTTATTATTTTATTATTCATTGTTAATTTTATAATTTTGTTATATTTATAACTAATATTAATATCTGAAAGCATTCATAAGTCTTATAGAACATTGAATGTATCACGAAACAATTTTAGGATAATGCAATAAAAAAAAAAATAAAAAACATCGAGAATCGTGATGGAATAATTTTTAACCGGAAGAAAATGTCATAAATATGAGTAGGGAGAAATTGCATTTCTAGCTCAGGGCTAAAAATATGTCAGAATTATTGCTGCTTCATCTATTGACTGTCTCCGTGTTAATGCAATCATTGAATCCAATCAGAATGATATTTATTTTGAAATAAACGATATAGTGACCTGTTAATAAATGCCTTTTTATTTGCTAGTGGAATCACATTTTTCAAAATTATTATTCATCATCTACTATGAAAATAGTTTCCACATTTGGGAAAATAATTTTTAAAATATATTAAATTATTTTAATGTATTAAATATATTTTCTGCAATTATTTATTTTTAAATTTCTATTTTTAGGTCCTAGAAAAATTTTTAAATATGTTATGAACATACAAAATATAATAATATTTTTTATGTTCATAGCATATTTTAAAATTTTTCTATTATGGAAAAAAAATTTAAGTTTACAATTTTTTTAACATTCATTTCAGCAAATGTGGTTGACAGTGAATTGAGAAAAAACTTGGATTTACAGTTACAAATCTATATTCTAGATGTGGTCTCCTATTAATTCTCCCATCATTTGCTTTTATAAATACGAAAGAGTATTTGCAAAACAAGTGACAAGGAGTGGAGATGCATATCCCTTAAGAAAAAAAAAACTCGAAAAGAGAAGTCGTCAACCCGGTCATTCCTCCTTGACGAGTCTCACGATTCTGTCATTTGACTTTATTTCCTACATGTATAACTATATAGAAAAATTATTTCTAATTTCAAAATTTATTTCAGAATATATGTTTAAAAACTATATAACAAAAAAAATAATTTTTAAATATTACAATACAAGGTTATCTTTATAAATAATGAGATTATTCTCCAAAATTCAATTATTTTCAAAAATTATAATAAAACTCTTTGCAAAAATTCAATTATGTTCAAACATTTTTTAAAAAATTCAATTATCTTTATAAATAATAAAATTCTACTCCAAAATTCAATTATTTTCAAAAATTTTAATAACATTTTTTGCAAAAATTCAATTGCTTTCAAAAATTTTTAATATTTACTGCTTTAATATAATTTTCCAAAAGAATTAAATTATTTAAAAAAATTTAATTAAATTCTTGACAAAATTTCAATTATTTTCAAAAATTTTTCTCAATTCAATTATTTTTAATATTTACTGTTTTAATAAAATTTTCTTAAAGAATTGAATTATTTAAAAAAAAATTTTATTTAATTTTACGTAGACAATTAATTAGTTTTATAAATAACAAACATTTCACAAAAATTCAATTATTTACAAATAAAAAATTTTTTATAGAAATTCAATTATTTTTGTAAACAATAAAATTATTTTTAAGAATTCAATTATTTTTATAAATATTAAAAAACTTAACACAGAATTTCAATTATTTTTAATATATTATTAATCAAATTTCTCTAAAAATGTAATTATTTTTAAAAATTTAATTATTTCAAAATTTGTTGATATATTTTTATGAGAATTCAATTTTAAGAAGCATTGAATTATTCAATTAATTATTCATTTTGTATTTAAATAATTGAATTCTTATAGAATTTTCAAATAAAAATTTAAAAAATAAATTTTAAATAGTTAAAATTTTAGATAATAATTTAATATTAATATTAATAGCATTATAGCGTGAATTTGTAGAAATAATTGAATTTCGAAAAGGTTTCAAATTAGAACCTTTGAAAATATGAATTTTTCATACTTTTAACTAAAAATTCTGTAGAATTAATTTTCTTGCAAAAGTTTAATTGAATTTTTTTAAATTATTTAAATTTGTTTATTTATTATTTTAATTAATTAAAAATACTTGTTATTTATCATCTAGTATGAAAATAGTTGTAACATTTCAGAAACGAAATTTACCATTAATTCTATTAGTTTCTCATTCATAAACTTTGACGTTATTTTTCAATTTCGTTAAACCTTTTTTTACAAAATTCAATATTATGGAATTTTTTTTCATTTTTTTGTGAATATATGAAATTTAATAAAAGGTAAAATTTTTTTTTCCAAAAAAATATAGAAGAAGAATTTCCTGTAGGAAAAAGTTGCAAGGGATTGAAGGTGGTGGTGATTGTCGAATATTACTAGTAAGATGGAGAATGGTACCGGTCTAGTCGCTTGCAGGTCGTGGGACCGTAAACTAAAACCGAATCGGTTGTTCTTTCGCGAGTGTTCTGAAGGGAAACATTCAATTCACTGAACATATCATTAACGTTGGATACTTTTTAGCAGTAAGATTCAAAATTATCACATAAAAATTATTACAAATTTTACGAAAATTGTTCATTTCAATTTAAAAAAATATATTTTTTATAAAAATGTCAATAAATCCTTTCTTATTTGAATTTAATATTAATTTTAATTATTCTAATTGAATAGAATTTTAATTTTTTAATTTGATAGAAATAATATTTTTTTCAAACTCAATTTAAAAATAAATGTTTATCATTTTATTTTATTTACTTAAAATTTATGATTATAATGTACTATTTAAATTATTAATTATTATTATTATTATTTTTAATTTACAAGTAACTAAATTTTTGCAAAAATAATTTTAAAATGCAAAAATCTATTTTTGAATCCTAGAAGAGAATTATTATTTTTATTATTACAACAATTATATTAATCTTAATGTAAATTTCTATAAAATTCTTAGTTTTCAATAATAAATCTAATAAGGTACTAAACATTTATATAAAAAATTTAAAAAATAAATTGAATGTTTAGTTTTATTATTTTTATTCATCAATCAGTATGAACAAAGTTTATAACTTTTTAAAAACGAGGTATAAAATAAATTAAATATATAAAAGTAAAATAATAATTTTGTTACATTCGTTATAAATTTGATTCACTAATATAAAATTATTAGTTTTGATTAATAAATCTAATATAAAAGATACTAAGAATTTATTTTAAAAAATTAAAAATTCTCAACAATTGTTATTCATCATCTAGTATAAAAATAGTTTTTAGAAACGAAATATAAAATAAATTAAATATAAAAATACAAAATAAAAACAATAAAAAAAATAAAAAATATTTTTACATTCGTTATGAACATTGTTTACAAATAAAAAATTGTTTGCTTTTAAATAATAAATCTAATAAAATAGATACTAAAAAAAATAAAAAATTCGTAATTAATGGACGTCTGTAAAAAGATAAATAATTTATGACCAAATTTTCTTTTTACTAATTTTTCATCCAGTTTATGACATTGACAAAAAATGTATTTATTAATTTTCTTTGTATTTAGTAATTTTTACTTTTTCATATATATATACTTTCCGAACAATTAATGTAATGAGAAAATGAACTCACTTTCCATGCCCAGTGGCTAATAAATGTCACAATATAAATTATCTTTATCTTCAGGCAACGCTGTGAAAACATTTTTGCGGTCAACAATTATCTTTTTTTTAACAAAATATAAATTATTTTCAATTTAAGTAAAATTTGTTTTTAGTAAAAGAAAAATGAAAATTTGCAAATTGTTTAAGCAATTTTCTTTTATCAGGTATATAATGACTATTATTATTGTTATAAAAAAATAATAAATAAGAATATAAATAATAAAAACAATGACCAAAAAAAAAACAATTTCTTAATTATTATTAAATTACTTTTCTGCTAATTCTAAGATATTTTGACATTTTTCACCTGATTGCACTTTTCTAATTCTTTTTTGTCTAATGCGTAAAATTATGCAAATTTACAAGAAAATTCAATTTTCTCAAGTGCTGTAAATTATTCGTGTTATTAAATTTAATAAAGAGACCTCGAGCATCTCGCATGGAATTCCAAATTGTGAAACAATTGAATAAACATTTATATTCTGGTGCTGAAAGACATTTTGCAACTAAACATAATTAAAAATTATTAATCTTCTTTTTTCTCACTTTTAACTAATTATTTAATTTAATAATTTTCCTAAACTAATTTAATCATAATTTAAAAAAACAAAAATATTTTTAAAACCATAAGTTTTATTTTGCTATGAAGATAATGAAAAAAATTATTTTTAATTTAGCAATTATTGACTTTTTGTTTCTGGTGTTCGAAAAATTGTTAATTGTTATTTCGATACTGTTTGTAATTTATTTCTAACCGACAATAAATCTTATTTTTAAATATAGAAAACAATTTAAAAATTAATTATTTAAAATACTTCATAAAGCAGGATAAATGTTACTATAAATTAGTTTTTAATTAAATTTTTCGTAACATTGATTTTATTATACTAAAAATAATTAAACTAAATTATTAAATTTAACATTTTTTGCTTTTAGCTAATTTTCTGTTATAATAAACTAAATAATGTATTAATTATTATTCATTTGTTAATAATTAATATTAATTATTAAAAAAAAAAAAATTACGTTTTAATTGAAAATTTCAAACTGAATTAAAATAATGTCCAAAAAAAAAAAAAGAATAGTTAAATGTCAGTGGCGCAATAACAATAAATTTGCATGGGAAAAAATTCATCACTCTATGTGATTTATCATATCTAGATCTGATTAAAAATAGTAATTTTGTTTTGGACATGACACCTTGGCATTAAGGTATTTTACTGAAGCAACGCACCTTTCCCTTGACATATTCTCAGAATGTTCGTTCTTCTATTACAATAATTACTCTCTTTTTTTCAATATACGCTTCATTTATACAGATAATTAATAATATATCATTAAATTTCAAATTAAATTCAAATTTTTTCTATTTTTGTTTCTTTTGCTTTTTGTACCTATATAAATATAGTTTTAAAAAAATATAATTAAATAATAAATAAAAAAATTTTTTAATCTTTGTTTTCTTATATTTGTAGCGTCTTTCGTCATTTTATTATTAATTTAAGTAATGTCCTTCAAACTCAATGTATAATTGAAATTATACTTAATTATATTTCTATTGTTCGCCCAACAATCAAAGTATAATTTTAAAGTAAACATTAATTTTAACTAAATTAAGGACAGGTGCAGAAAGGAACTATTTCCGTTTTGCAATGTAATTTAATTGTAACTTAATAACAATGAGGAAGGCCTAATATTCGAATTTAAAAATAGAAACAATGAAAAATAAAAAAAACAAAATGAGAAAAGAATGTCAATAATATAATTAAAATATGTGACACGCTATTGGGGGTTGATCCTCTTTCTGTATTTTTATTAAAAAAATAATAAACATAACCTAAAATTTCTTGCTTCTTAGGCAACTTCCTCAGGAGGATGAATCTATTTAGTTAATTATTACATTTACCAATTAATCATTATTCGTTATTTTTAATGACAATTTTATTCATAAATTCAAAATAAAAATACAAAAAATAATTGAAATATTTTAATAAATAAAAAAAAATTCAATTCTTTCTGAGATAATGTTTATAAAAAAAATAAAATATAGAAACATTTGTTATTTAAATCTCGTGTAATTTTCTTTTTTCCTCTTTTTTCTTGTGAAAAGTTTCATTGAACTAGGCAACATTATTCACAACGTGTATAATATACTATAATACGAGATTTCGATTATTATCGTAGAAACGTGCACCAGTTTTCTTTGTTTATATAAGACTCGCTCCAATTGACGACGAAATCATTGAAGAGAGGCTAGACTTCAATAATATTACAAAATATTCGATTTAAAATATTTAAAAAGAAGAAAATTTCCTTTTTTTGTTTTCAATTAAATATAAAGAGCGTTATTTTGTTAGAACTATTTTTTTTTTAATAAATTTTTTATAAACAATTCCATTTTTTAATAAATATTATTTCAATAAACATTTTTTCAATAAATATTTATTGCAAACAAATTTTTTTTTTTAATTTATTAAAATTAATTATTTTAGTTAATTATCAATTAAAATCAAAGTAATTTTAAAATTTTAAATTAAATTATTTTTTCCAAATTAAATTATTAAGTTTATTAAACGTATAAAGTATATACTGTATTAGATTTCTATTAAACAATTAACAAAAATAAATAATTGAGTAATTATTCAAAATAAAATTATTAATTAATTAAAATTAATTTGAATATATTACAATAAATATACTTTCAGCCTTAAGACTTATTATTGAATATTTTTTATTTACAGAATTTTTACTCTCTTTTCTCTCTTATAATATTAAATATGTTAAAAATATATTTCACTTTCTTTTAATTATAAGCTTCATTTTCTGTTGTTTAAATATATTGCACTATTTTTTTTCTGCTTTACAATAAGGAAATGTGAAAAATATTCCATTTTTAAGTTATTCTTTTTTTCTCCCTCTCTCTCTTTCTTTTTTCTCTATAGTTAAAGAACAATACAAGAAGAGGGATCTTTGTTTTGTGAAAATAAAGCGAAAAAAAGGATTATAATAGTAAATTTCTTAATTACCGAGTCTCTCTCCACAGTTTTATGACAGTATGGTGGCTTTTTTCTCTTCACAGAGAAAACTAGAAATAACAATCTTTTGTCTTAAAACATAAGTATATGTAACGCACGACTCTTAATTTTTTCTTTATTATTTTAAAATTTTTCTACACGTTGTATTTTTCTTCACTTTATTCAATTTATTAATTTCGTCAAATTAAAAAAAGGGGGAGGGATTTTACATTAGGAAAAATAAAAATGTTTTTTAAGAATTTTTATCAAAGGGGAAAAATTTACTTACTTAATTTTTGTATTTACGACAACGTATATTAGTAATTATTTTTCTGACAAGAAATATTAAAGTGCACTCAAGTTAAGATAAATTATTGACAGCGGTGCTGTTTTGACTTCCAAAATATTGGCTTTTAATTTAGTTGTTTATGCCTTATTGCGCCAGGCTTTTTTTTAATAATACTTTTGTTTTTGTAATAAATTATTTTTGTAACGAGGAGAACTGTCTTTGCAAAACTAGACAGCAGTTTAAAAACTATGACCCAACTTATCGAAGTATTTTAGAAAACAAAAATCACCCACCCAACAAGGGGACTTGTGCTAATTGTATACTGACTCTACTAATTTGAAGGTTACGAATCAACTGATTTTTTATTCCATGACCTTGAAGCGTGGCTAATAGGAAACGTTCTAAAATTTTCCACAGGGTGCAAGACTTTAAGGGTGTTAATTATATTTTTATAATTAACGCTAGCAGTGCTTTAAAAATGACAAACATGGTTATTGTTATGGTATTTTCGTGAAAATCGGCAAACATTTCCCGAGGAGTTTCAATGGGGAGTGTAATGCAGATTTGTATGTAAATCATAAATATTATACTATCGTTAACATCTTATTACCAGTTAGAATTTATTTATATTGTATTTACTCCATTCAACAAGCATCAAGACTTTTTCCTTATTGGTAAATATGGGAATGATTCTCGGTCGAGGACGCGCGCGACTCCACACATACAGTATTGCTTACTCCAGTTAGCGATAGTGATCTTTACTCTCTCGACAGTGGCAACAAGGAAAGAGTGACGTGAAAAAAAAATGCAATGCGTGACTTTCGTAATCGACATCTCGCGGAGCACAGTTCTCGGTCAGTGAACGTAACGGTATTACGAGGATAGTATACACATCGCACCGTATTCATGATTGCGAAGTCCTCTTCTTACTCTTTTCTTCTTTTTTTTTACCTCAATTTATAAGAAGTACCTTCTCGCCAATTCATCTTTCTCTCTCTTCAACTCTCGATGATTCATAAAATTAAGAATAGCGAGAGTGAATTATTCCCTATTTGGAAATACACAAGGAAGATGAAATCTATTTTGAGATTATTTTCCTTCTTTTCAATATTATTTCTAGGATATTATTTTCTTTTTTAGTTCGACATTTAAGATTGAAATAAATTAATCAATTTGTTAAAATTGTAATAGATGACACTGCAAAACTACTAGGCTTCTGCTGGCTAGACTACAAGAACCTATCTTTAAGAGATCTAGTTTGATTGATTTCGAAATTGTCCGCATTCTGTTACTTGGATTTTTTACTTTTGTGATTTCATACCATAAACAAAGTCTGTAGGGAGAAAATTATATGCATCTGCAAGTTATGTACGATTCCTTATGAAACAAACGTCAATAAAAATGGAGTAAAACTAGAGTTTGTTTACAATCCACCTCCGGCTGTTTGCGAACAACTTTTAGACAATTCCATTCAAGACTTTATTCTTTCGTAACAAAGGAAACGAGAAAAAAAATTGCACACTACTTGACAATTTGGTATGTATTCTCTAGAGGAAGTAGATTTATTTACTCCACAAAAAAATTTGTGAAGAGACTTCTCATGTAGGGTTTTTGGAAATTCATCAGTAAAGAATCGATGATTATTCCAATCGAATTGTCTTCTATTTTAGTTGTCTATGCCTGATTGCGCCAGGTTTGTTTTATATAATCTTTTTTCCACCACCAATTTATTTTTAAATTTATTTACTCACCCCATAAAAAAACACCATCCTTCTTGATTAATTGACTTCTGACTTAGTTTTTTATGCCTTAGTGCGCCAGGCTTTTTCTTAATAATACTTTTGTTTCTGTAATAAATAATTTTGTTAAAGTTAATAACTAAATAAATTTCTTCCAATATTAAAATTGTTAAAAATTAAATGTTCATTACTTACAGATGAGCTGCAACTGTCCCCTGTCGACAGCCACTGGACCCACTTTGGCCTCGACATGTGGGGGGCCTTCCTTTATGCTCTTTATGGGTCTTCTTGAGGTGTTCCTACGCAGCCAATGTGATCTCGAAGATCCTTGCAATCGACCTTTGCCACGCGATCGCGTAAACTCAAGGTCAGAACTGAAAAATTTCAAATTTTTATTTTGAATTAAAACAAACTATAACCAAGTGTTAAATAATATAAACAAGAGTAAATTCGAGGTAATCAAAAGATAAAAAATATTTTCTACAATAGAAAATAATTACATAAAACAGCATTATATTTTAAAATTATTCAATCAAGATATTTGGTGGCTTCCCAATTTTAATATTATATTTACACTTTTATAAAAAAATTATATAATATATCAGAGGAGATAATAATATTTTGTAAGAGATTTTCTACTTTTTTCCCCTCTTATTATGTCTTATTTCTTTTTTTTCCGCCTCTTTCACTTTTCTCTCTTTTGTGTGGCAATCGATAGTATATGTTATATATGGAAACTCAGTTGCATTTATACAATTTACACTTATATATACGACCCAAAGACTTTACGTTTAACTCTCACGCTTATCTGTCAGAAAGGCAAGCCCTGAGAACAGCACCTTTCGCTAAACACGGGTGGTGCACTCGTCGAATAAAATCCCTTCTTGTTCCGCTAACCCAATTTTCTATTTCCAAACAATTTTCCTATATGTACAACCACAACAAATTAAGATAATAGAATTATTTATATCCCATGATTAATTTGTAACAATCTTCGATTGCAATTCATTACATTAAAGAATTTTGTCGCGTCGCAATCAGATAATGAGAAAGTCGATGACTTTTCCTGAAGACGTTTATAATTTCATTGTTTACTTCTCTCTTCGCTTATTATGTAATGAATATAATGAAAAATTTTACTTTATATAACTATTTATTTATTATACGGATAATTACAGTATTTATTTACTCAATTGCAATAATAGTTTATGTATTTGAAACTACAAGTAAAATCCTATTCTATAGAGAAAATAAATAAAAAATTAATTTCAGGTACGACTTTGTTGTGATAGGAGGTGGAAGTGCAGGGGCAACTGTTGCATCGAGATTATCGGAAGATAATCGATATTCTGTATTGTTACTCGAGGCAGGTTTAGATGAGCCAACTGGTACGCAAATACCGTCATTTTTTTTTAATTTCTTGGGATCGGATATCGATTGGCAATACACAACGGAAAGTGAGGATGAAGCTTGTTTGAATAAAGAAGATCGAAAATGCTACTGGCCACGCGGAAAAGTAATGTATATTATTTTTTAAAACCCATACAAAATTGGTATATATATAATGTTGTCTTGTCTTTAAAATGAAAAACTACTATTGTTAATTTATACAAAAGATTCACGATTGCGATCTGCAAATTACAAAGTATGTATAAACTAACACGCCAATAAAGGAAGTAATCTTGATTCTGCAATTGAATATCAACAAAAAGCATTTAATTATAGAGTTTCCATAAACGATCCGTCACGCTGCATTTAACCTGGCATTACATAGTTGCATTTCACTCTGATAAATTTGTTCTAAGCACGCTCCTTTTTGAATTTAGTCATTGTTATACCAAGATTATAATGATCAATGCCATCATTAATTTTAATATTCTTATGACTATTTTAATCACAATTTAACTGTCACTATTAATTCTGTTTTTCTGCCTGATTGCGCCAGGTTTGTTTTAAATAAAAACTTTTTTAATGCTGTAAATCACCAATGTTTCTGTAATAAAAATTAGACTTATTAAGCAGATTATTGATTTGGAAAAGAATTTTATTGAGAATTGATTATAACATGTAATTGAAATATGATTCTGTTAATTTCTTTAATATTATTTAACATCATTAAGTTTGCCTGACAAGAAATAACACAATTTGATGGATTTATTAGGTACTGGGAGGAACAAGTGTAATGAACGGAATGATGTACATGAGAGGCTCGAGAAAGGACTTTGACGACTGGGATCGAATGGGAAATCCCGGTTGGTCATATCAAGATGTCCTTCCCTTCTTTATAAAAAGTGAGGACAATCAACAAGTCAGCGATATGGATTACGGATTTCATGGAGTGGGTGGTCCACTAACTATTACTCAATTTCCATATCATCCACCACTGAGTTTTGCACTCCTCCAAGCCGGAAGAGAATTAGGTACACCTAATTCCACACTTGCTAAAATTAATCTAATTTCAAACTATTTCAATTTTTTAAAAACTAACAAATTGTCATCTCTTAATTATCTCTTTCAAAGGTTACGAAACAGTGGATTTAAACGGTAATTCACATACTGGATTCGCAATTGCTCAAACAACATCACGAAATGGTTCACGACTATCAACAGCTCGGGCATTTCTTCGACCAGCTCGAAATCGTCATAATTTACACATAATGTTAAATTCCACTGCGACGAGAATTTTATTCGATGATAATAAACGAGCAGTTGGTGTTGAATTCGTTCATAACGGACAAGCGCAAAGGGTGTCTGTTGGCAATGAAGTCGTCATTAGCGGAGGTTAATTATTATTTGCAACAACAAAAATTATTTAAACTACTTTTGATGATTAGTTGATAGCGGTAATGAATTTCAGGAGCTGTAAACTCACCGCAAATACTTCTAAACAGTGGAATCGGTCCACGAGAAGAATTGGAAGCTGTTGGAACTCCAGTTGTTCACGATGTTCCAGGAGTTGGACGAAATCTTCACAATCACGCGGCATACACTCTGACTTATACGATAAATGACACGGACACAACACCACTAAATTGGGCCACTGCTATGGAATATTTACTATTCCGAGATGGTTTAATGTCCGGCACAGGTGAGTTAGAAATACATACATTTTTTTTCTAAAAGGAACTTGGATTTTTGTTTCCAATCTTTAAAGTGCGCGGTAAATACCAGTTGAGCGAAAAAAGAACTGAAGTCTATCAGACACATCAGTTATTCGAAGAATTAGTGTCAAATTAGAAAAAAAAGATGATTTACAATAACCTTCAAAGATGCTTTACCTTCTGCCTTCGGGCAAATCTTACACGTGCTGAATACTTTACTATCGCATAAGGAAAATCTATTTCGTAAAACACAAATCAGAAAAGTGGAATGACAGAGATATTTATAAAATTTATAAAAATATTTTTTGTAGAATCCAAAAAAACATCCATTAACATATTGATTACTATCATCATTTACAATTTTCTCCTAATCGAAACTAAATCGATCTATTATTGTAAGAGAAAAGGAGTATTTATAATATATTAACTAAAAGTGGCGCCGCGCCGGTTAATTAGAAAATTTCCTACACGTAACAAAGTGACTCAACTTCTTTTTAAAATCAAGTCGGACAATTCTTTTTTTTTTGCGAACGCAATGACGAAATGTGACATAAGAGTTGTATTAATGAGAGGCTCAAATATTACACCGTAATCTCCTAAAGATATATACATATAAGGAAATATGCATATACATTTTTTGCTTTTTGTTTTAAAGAGAATCATATCGTCTGCCCGACGAGCCGTTGCATCTCGATTAAATTCCGAAACTTCATGCTCGACTATATAGTGAAAGCCGATTGCACAATGATTCAGTCGTTCGTGTTACCGATCAAATGATGGTGCAACTGTTTTCCGATTTGACCGGGTCGTTCAGTTGAACCTTAGTCAGGAACAAGAATTATAAACTACTCTAATTCCGGGACTCCCTTCGGGGTTCTCTCTCTCTCTCAATGTACCGATCCTATCTCTTCACTTTGAAACGCAATAACCCGGAGTACAAAACCCTTTCTAATCCGCAAGACATAGAAGCTATTCTATAATTCGTGTTTTCTATTTATGATTGGAACTCTTCCACTTTATCGAAGAATTTATAAATCCGACCTTGGTAATTTTTTAATAATTAAAATTTTCGTAATTAACGATTTTTTTATTTTTAGGAATATCTGAAGTGACTGCAATGATAAATACCAAGTATTCAGATCCAAGGGAGGATAATCCTGATATACAATTAATTTTTGGTGGCTATTTGGCGGATTGTGCGGAAACAGGAATGGTGGGCGAGAAGAAAGGGGCAAACAGAACAATTTACATAATTCCAACACTTCTGCATCCAAAGAGTAGAGGTTATCTTCGTTTGAGAAATAACGATCCCCTCTCGAAACCAATGATCTATCCTAAATATCTTACTCATCCGGATGACGTCGCTGGTCTTATCGAGGGAATTAAGTTTAGCATTCAATTAGCTGAGACTAGTGCTTTAAAAAAGTGAGTCCTTTTTTCATTAAATTGCATTATTTTTATTTTTTTTCCATGCCTAATTGCGCCAGGTTATTTTTTGCATAATACTTTTTTATATAAATTTAATTTTACTCACTTTGCTAAGTCTTTTCTTGATTAATTAGCTTCTAATTAAGTAGTCTATGCCTGATTGCGCCAGGTTTGTTTTAAATAAATATTTTTTCTATGACTAACAGATGTTTACTTACAGATACGGTTTCGAGTTGGATAGAACTCCGGTTAAAAATTGCGAACACTTGAAATTCGGTTGTGATGCCTATTGGGAATGTGCAATGAAACATGATACAGCACCAGAGAATCATCAAGCTGGTTCTTGCAAAATGGGACCAAATTCTGATCCTATGGCAGTTGTTGACAATCAATTACGAGTTCGAGGTGTTCGGGGAGTACGAGTTGCTGATACAAGTATCATGCCTCAAGTCACTTCTGGCAATACAAACGCCCCTGCAATTATGATTGGCGAAAGAGCCGCCGATTTTATCAAGAGAGCCTGGATTGGATGAAGGAGATTCTTCCATTAAAAAAAATTTTTTAAAAACTGTCCAACTGACAAAAAGTGACAAATGTCCTTTTAAACATAAAATATCGAAACTGTGGGTAAATAATAATAGAACAAAAAGAAATCAGAATTTAATATTTAACTTGTCCGCTTATTTGAAATTTATGTAAATTAACATACTTTTCGTAAGGGGGAAAAAATATTTTTTCAATATACCACAAAACGATAATCAGCATAAGAAATGGAAACGTAAATCTTACATCACAAATAACTAGTGAAAATATGAACAAGCGAGTCGACATAATTGACTTGCGCAATGTATGTACAAAAATAAGTTGTTTCAATCAAACCTAGAGTAAACGCATAGTTACACGTACGTAGGAATTATCATATCAATTACTTTTTCATCATTTACAATGAGAACCCTGTTCAAGAAAGGGAGGAGAGAGATTAATTTTATAACCTGTACTTAGAGGTGAAAGTACCCAACTGCCTAATAAGGTACCTCTACCAGAAATGTAGATTTCAGATTGATCATTTACCGGAAGTCGTGTATTGGTTTAATCTTTTGCCAACTTAAAACCCATGCAAACAATAAAACAATTCCTAAGCATTTTGAATTTTTAAAATTAGAAAATTTAAACTTTTTGTATAGTATACTTAAATTTTATCAGTTATTAATTATATTGATCCACTTTTTATAAAAAATTATTTTAAGAGTAATAAAAATTTTATTTTATTTATTGCAATTGTATTTATTATCTTTGTTGACACGTTCTGGTATTTTCAATAACTGTTAATTATTTTCAACACAAATAAATAAGTCAACAATTATCATAATCAATATTTCTTAACGTTATTGTTCATTATTTTTATTTAAAATTATAAATCAATAAAGTATTTTTTAAATAAGATTCAACAAAGTGTTAATTTTTCAAGTATTTAAGTGTTAACATTAAAAAAAAATTGAACATTTTCGTCAATTAACAGCATCGAAGAAAAAATTGCCCGAAGCCAAATTATTGCTTAATTCTTGTGTATAAATAAAATTATATGATTCGTAAATTCTTTTCGTTTAAATGAACAAAATCTTGTCGATAATACACTGGAAAAAAAATTTATTTGATTCAAATAACCGATTAATTGACTATTATCAATTAAATATTTACTTGAATCAAATAATATTTATTAGAGTCAATTAAATGGTATTTGAATCAATAATTTTAGTATTTGAAGCAAATAGCATTTAATTGACTCTAATAAATATTATTTGATCCAATTAAATATTTAATTTATTCTCAATTAATCGGTTAATTGAATCAAATAAATTTTTTTTTCAGTGTATAAATAGTTTTAACAATTACTAACTGTAATAAAAAGCAAAGAAAAACGGTAAATTAAAAAATTTTGACACATAATTTATTTTTTGATAATCAATTTTTCTAGTTGAACTATAAATATAATTTTTAAGACAAAATATATAATTTTTATTTTTGAAAAGATAATTTAGTTAAATATAATAATTATTATATTTCCTTAAGCGTAAGAAATTTTATTTTCTACATTTTGAATAATTTAAAGTTATATTATTAAATAAAACTTATACTCTTTTGTCAATAATAAATGAATTAAGTGACATAACCTAAAATTTAATAAATGATTCTTATTGACAGAAAATTGTAATTTTTAATTACAATTAAACAAATTAATTTGTCTTTTTCTTTTAAATTACGAAATTCTGACATTGGACTAATTTTTGTTTTAACTGTACTTCAGATTCTTCCTTAATGTGACATTATAAATTAACAGGATTCCTACAGAAATCCGAATTTAAAATTCCATACCTTTTCCATGATTTCCAGGTCAAATTTTTACGAAATTCCATCAGTGGAATTTATAATCTAATTTCAATATTTTTGGGCTCTTTAAAAATACTTTACTTATTTAATAGTCTCCACCCTTTGGTAAAAATTCTAAAATTATCAAAATTTATCAAAAATTCGAAAAACCGATTTTTTTAAAATTCAACAGTTTTTCTTCTCTTTGATAGTATTTTGCTTCATTATTTTTGGGCTCTTGGAAAATACTTTACTTATTAAATAGTCTCGACTCTTTGATAAAAAATCTAAAATTATCAAAAAACCGAATTTCTTAAAATTCAACATTTTTTCCTCTCTTTTATTGGATTTAGCTTCATTATTTTTGTGCTCTTGAAAAATACTTTACTTATTTAATAGTCTCCACCCTTTGGTAAAAAATCAAAAATTATTAAAAATTATCAAAAATCCGAAAAATCGAATTTCTTAAAATTTAACGTTTTTTCTTCTCTTTTATGCCATTTAGCTTTATTATTATTTGAATTTCTATTCAAGAGAAAAAATGAAAAACAGAAAAAATTTAGAAACTTTTAAAAATTCCAGGCCTTTTCCATGGTTTTTCTGATTTCCAGAAGCCTTTTAAAAATTCCATACCATTTCCATGATTTCCAGATTCTGTAGGAACCCTGATTAAGCTTGAAATAATAGGTTAAAGCCTGTTTTGACACGTCAATTTCTATTTTGTCGAATCGCATAATTTATGCAATAAAATTTAGTATATAACTTTTATCAAAAATAAGCTTGAAATTACCATGTTTACAAGTGATGAATTTTAGGTTAGATTTTAACTTTAAGAAAAGCAATAGAATTAAATTGTAATTACGACACAACTACTAAAATAAATAATTAGTAAAATACTTATTGCAGTGCAATAATCGCAAGATTAAAGAATAGTAAGTACTTTGTTGTATACGACCGAAAAATATTTATTATCGCATTATTTTAACGAAGTGACTATTTGGCCCGTCGGCGGGCCATATAAGCTACTTTTTTTATTTGGCCCGCCTGCTTTTTTTTAATATTTCAAAGCGGGCCAAATAATAAAAGTAACTTATTTGGCCCGCCAGGTAAGAAAATAAAAGCGGGCCAAATAGAGAGTGGTATATTATTTGGCCCGTCACAAATAAAAATTGCTTTTTTTTATCTGATCTTCAGTTAATAATAAAATTAACTATAAAAGAAATAATAGTAAGTGCATTAACATATTTTTTGCTTTTTATATAGTGAATTAATTTTTTTTTTTTGCTTTAAGAATGTAAATAATATTTTTTTTGTGTTATTAACCTTAAAACACTTATGCGTAAAAAAAGTGGTAAGCATCCCAAAAATTGTCTTTATTAGCGGGAATTTTAAATCAAAATTTTTCTCCTTGTTAGATCAAAATTATTTGTTCAATTTATATTCTTTTTTGAAATCGTATTAATTTGCAAAAATTGTAATAAGTAGTAGTTTGCACCCAGAAAAAAGGTTCTTTGAATCAATGAAATTTGTGCAATGTTATAGGGTCACAAAAAAAGTTTCTTTGATTTAATGAAATTATTTCTTTAACTGTTTTTTGTTAACTCAAAGAAATATTTCTTTGGATTTAACAAATCTTTTTTTAAGTCAAAGACATAAATAAATCAAAGAGATAATTCCTTTAAATGTTCTTGGCCATTTATTTGTCTTAAAGAAATTTTTCTTTGGATCAAAATTTCTTCTAAAAGTAGTTTGCTTTAAAAAGTTAATTAAAAAAAATAAATATTTTATTTAAAAAAATATATATAGTAAATACAAATATTATTGTAAAACAATAAATGATATTATAACATAATAAATATAATATTCAATGTTATGGTTTCGTGAAAACTGTTATTTGAAAAGAATTGTTATACTAATTATAATAAATATACGAAAAAAGTTTTTTGTTATTTCTCTGCGTTAACAAAAAACAGTTAAAGAAATAATTTCTTTAAATCAACGAAACTTTTTTGACCCTATAACAATGCACAAATTTCGTTGATTCAAAGAAACTTTTTTTGAAACAAAGAAGCTTTTTCTGGGTGTAAAACTTTTGATGCATTAAAATTTCTACATTATAAAATATAAAATTCTCTACATAATATTATAATAAAGCACATTGAAAATACTTAATATTTATTAGTCATATATAATTTAAAATATATTTTAAAAATTTCCAGAAGAATATTATTAAAATGTGTAAATTTTGATGGACAATCAATTAACACTATAAGAAAAAATATTTTATTATTACTTATTTTGAGCACTAACTAACTCTTAAGTTTCAAAATTTATTTTTATTTGAATTACTTATCATAAATTAATGATTATTTCAAGAATATAAAAGAAGGCGATTGGAAAGGTTTTCATTCATCTTGACTTTATGAAATGTATATTACAATTTTTGCAAATTAATATGATTTCAAAAAAGAATATAAATTGAACAAATAATTTTGATCTAACAAGGAGAAAAATTTTGATTTAAAATTCCCGCTAATAAAGACAATTTTTGGGATGCTTACCACTTTTTTTACGCATAAGTGTTTTAAGGTTAATAACACAAATTAAAATATTATTTGCATTCTTAAAGCAAAAAAAAAAAAAAATTAATTCACAATATAAAAAGCAAAAAATATGTTAATGCACTTACTATTATTTCTTTTATAGTTAATTTTATTATTAACTGAAGATCAGATAAAAAAAAAAGCAATTTTTATTTGTGACGGGCCAAATAATATACCTCTCTCTATTTGGCCCGCTTTTATTTTCTTACCTGGCGGGCCAAATAAGTTACTTTTATTATTTGGCCCGCTTTGAAATATTAAAAAAAAGCAGGCGGGCCAAATAAAAAAAGGAGCTTATATGGCCCGCCGACGGGCCAAATAGTCACTTCGTTATTTTAACGGAAAATAATTATTTTATTCTAATATTTAACTATTCTTTTAAAATAAAAAAATTAACAGTATATTAGTATTAAAATAAACAATTATCTTAATTTATATTCATTTTTTATAAACTTACCTCGTGATTATAATTTACTTCACACTCGGAATTCATTTTCTTTACTGTTTACATCGCAGCAGCAAAAATTTCAAACAAAATTTCTGTTATTTTATTATCACCATTAACCACAAAGCATATAGATTGTGCGATGGTATTTTTTTCGACACTAGGCGTGACGCCACATAAATTCACTGTGAACAGGCCTGAGACAATCTGACAATCTTGTGAATAAGGCTTTAGTGTTCAGTTAAAGTTAGATGACCAGTTTGTGTTGATTTCTTCCTAAAAAAAATAAAAAAAAGTTCTATACACTTTGCCGACGTTTGTATACGTTTTGTTCATTCTCATTACAAATTACTGATTGTTTAATTACTGATTTAATTTAACGACTCTAAAATGGCTTCAAACAGTGAGATGATCGATTCGAAAGAATCATTATCAGAATTATTTGATAAAGGTTTTGATTTATTTAATGAAATAAATGAAACCAAGGAATCGACAAATTCAATAAAAGTTCAGGTATGTATTTAAATAATCTTTTTAATCATTTCTGTTTAATTTTACTTTTAGATTTTGCGTTATTTGCTTTTCCATCCCGTTAAAACTTTCAATGTTATTAAAAACAATAAAATTATTATTATTATTATTAATTTAATAATTTTTAATATTGTAAGTTACTTAAGTTAAGTATATTTTGTCAATAAAGGAATATTGATTTTTTCATAAGATTTGGAAGAGATTTATGATATTTATTTCAAAAGTATATCAAACAGGTACCTTATGCGGCAAGAATTTTAGGTTATGTTTATAATCGTTTTAACTTTAAAAAAAATATTCTATTTAAAAAGAAAAATTGTTTAAAAAAAAGTTAAGAAACAAAAAAAGCAAACAACAAGAAATAATATATTAATTAATTAATTAAAATTATTTACAAATTAAATTAATTATATTTAATATAATAATATAATATAGTTTTTATAATTTCGTTTTTCAGTCGGATGTTAAACAAGCAATGCACATATTTGAAGAATCAACAAAATTAGTATCGCTTGTCGATATGTTCAGTGATAATGAGAATTTCGATGAAATTCCAACGGAAAATATCAAATATTTTTTACTGCCAGCACTATTGGGAACATTAACGACAAAAATTTGCAATGCCGACGATCGTATGCATATTATTGATGTGGCTGAAATTTATTTCGTCGATTTTTTAAAACGTTTAAAAACTTATGGTTTAACGGACATTCAAGTACCGGAGAAAAATAATAGCGAAACAGAGGAAACTGCCATTGAACGATGTAAATCAAATGCCGAAATGATAACCGAAATGGTTCGTATTTTTTTTATAATTATGAAATTTATTATTAAAAATTTAATAAATTAAAATTTTTTTTGTCCTGCAGGTCAGTGTGAGAAATACAAAAATTCAACGATACACAGAACAAAAGGAATTGGAGTCACGTTTAAAAATTTTAAAACAAGGTATGGATGATTTAAATATTGACGATGAATCAAAGAGAGAATATTTGAAGACACTATTGAAGGTTTATGTAAATCAAGCATTGGACGAATTACGTTCAATTGCTGATGAGAGACCAATTTTGGAGCATATGAAAAAAATGGATGACGGTGAGAAAAAATCGTCGTCACATTATCATAAATCACGTACAACAAGTGCAAAATTGAAGCCAATAATTATAACGAGAGATGAACTTCAAAAGCAAGTTTACGGCGCTGGTTATCCAAGCCTTCCGGTATTAACTGTACAAGAATTTTACGATCAACGCGTTAAGGATGGAGAGTAAGTAAAAATAAACTAAAAATTTGAAATTTTCTTTTTAATTTTAATTTTTAAATTTTTTAATTTTCTTTTTAATTTTGATTTTTAAAGTTTTTATTTAATTTAAATTTTTTAATTTTCTATTTAATTTTAATTTTTCCATTTAATTTTAATTTTTCAATTTCCTTTCCAGTTGGCCAGATCCTTCTCAACGGAATAAAATAAATAATTCATGCCTTCAAGATGTCGGCAATAGTGATTCCAATACAGAGCAAGATAAGGAGGACGAGGAAAAGGAAAAAATGATCGAGAAAGATGACGAGGAGTCAATAAATCGTGCACGAGCAATGGATGATTATAAAGACACACATCGTCGTGGTTGGGGAAATCGTTATAATCGAAGTTAAATTTCAAATTTTTCCTTTCTTTTATACCGTGTCAAAAAAAAAATTGTACCAATTGCATGTCGAATAATTAACTACTACTTTAAGATGTTAATACATCAAATTATAAGAAAAATTAATTTTATTTTTTTGCTAATTTTTTTTTAAATTGCTATTTAAATTCAAAAGATATTTTCAAATGCATTTTTAAAAAAAAAGAAAACAAACAAATCTATTTAATAGATATTTAACTTTTTGCCTCGCTTTTTGCAAAAAAAAAAGAGAAAGAACTAATATTTTTTTTATGAAATTTAATATGAAACCTTTTTTTTATTATTTAAATGTAAATTTTAATCTTTTGTTATAATAATTTAGAATAAAAGCCTTAATTTTTACTATGAGAAATTCGTTATCACTGAAAAGAATTAAACGAAATAACACAAGTTTTTTTTACTAAACATTTGCATGTACTTTTCATTTTTTTATTGTAATGATTCTTTAATTTCCGTTTGTAATCAATTTTTTGCAACTATTTGCTTTTGCAAAAAATAGGAAAAATGTGTACACTAATAAATTTACAAAAGTTTTGCACAAAATTGCGTTTATTTTGTTTCTTTAATTTTCGTAACGTTTCTATTAATTTCACTTGCAAGAAAGAAGTTTTTTCTTTGCAAATTCCAAACATTTTTTGTTAATAAATAACTTTTTTTAATAAATAATTTTCTTTTATAAATATTTTTTTTTATAAATAATTTATTTTACAAAAAATTTATTTTATAAATAATTCATTTTATAAATAATTAATTTTCTATAAATAATAAATTACAATTATGTCTAATTTAATTAAACAATTTTTTAAAATTAAATCCTAGTTCATTCATTAAAATTTCGAAAGAAATAATTTAACTCTCGAAAAATGAATTGCCTCTTTGGTCTAGATTTTTTAATTTTGATATTTAACAATTTTCTTTAAAAAAAGGAAAATTATTTAATTATTACTATTTTTAAAAAATTGAATGATAATTCGAAACTAGTGATTTAAATAGAGAATGTTGCCCCACCATGTTGTATTATTTGCTATTTTCGGTGGACAGGAATACATAACATTAACTTTTTGAATATCACTTTCGCTAAATCCATAACGTTGACCCAAAGTTTTATCCGTCTGCATCTGAAAATTAATAATTCTTAACGTAAATGCTTTCTTTTTGTTAAAAAATTATGAATTCGTGATGAAATGATCGAAAATGGCGGCAGACTATGAGTGCGAAAGAGATAAACGTATATTTACATTTCTTTCACACTCATAGTAAAGGGCCGTTCATAGACTACGTAGCACTCAAGGTACTTTTTGCAATAAGCAGATAAGTGAAACAACTTTACGCACTAATAAAAAGTTAGAAAAAGGAAAAATTTACATCCTTTTCTTTTTATATCCATTCGTAAAGTCGTGCAACATTGTAGTGGCTTTTAACAATAATTTTTGCAATTTTCAAAAATACATTCTATTTACCCTTGGAAGAATAGTAGGTTCGCCATTTTTCGAGAAAGCAAACTTGGAGTAATGCATAACACTTCCAAAGTCATAAGCAATTCCCAGTTCATCGTTTGGATAAACGGATTTTCGAAAGTGAACTTGTGCCTCTAAAATTGAAAATATTCTGTTTTTAATATTCACTGTTAAAATTATACGATATAAATAAATATTTCTACTAGCTATAGGATAACTATAATCCAGATGCGGCAGTGAATCCTGGTGGCAAATGGTCGAAGTAAAAAGTGGCATTAGTATAAAAAGGACGGAGATAGTAGGTTCACTATGCCCATCTTTTTTACACTAATGGTACTCTTTAGTTACTGCACTTGCCGTATCTAGAGGTGAAATATCTTAATTGTTATTTATTATTATTTATACACAGTAATTTACCATCTTTAATATTATCCCAGTGAACGTCAATGTACAAATCTCTTTCATATCTACGATGCTCATGAAAAAAGCCAATAGTGTGCATAAATTCATGTATAACCGTTCCCTTCTTTCTCAAACACATGGGTATTTGAAGATTAACCGTTTGTGGTCCACCTTGTTTACCAACGTAACTCCAACATCCCTTTGAGTCAGCTTTAATTTCAATATAGTCCGATTCCACAGTGCGAGGAACAAATTGAATGCACGTCTTGTCATGAAAGTCTTTCATCGCCTCATAAATTGTGTCCAATGCCGTTGGATTCTCATCTACATCGTGAAAAATATGTAAGTAAAATTATATACTCTAGAATTATGATTAAATTAGTTCATAAATTTAAATTAATTCATAAATCATAAGATAGAAAAGAATACAAATATATTTCTGTTCTCTTGCATTTCATTGCATAAAGTCCTAATGCTGCTTCTACAACAACATTTTTTCATTAACACGAAAAGTTATTGTAGACGCAACTTTATTTTAGCTAAACTGAAAATAATGCCTTCCCAACCCTGTTTAGAAGTCTTTTATCAAAATGGTGGATTTAGACAGTGATTGCCCACTAAAAATTGCAAATAATTCGGTAACTAAAGTTTGATACAAAATGATAACATAATTAGAGTACAGCTAACAATAATTATTATAGAATACAAAGATTTTATGGACAACTGAATTATAAGAATAAATGTTAGCTCACATTATAAATTTCAAATTATAAAGAATCGATGTAAGAATTAAGGGTTAGATGTGAAAACTTTTGCTGATGAAAAAAACAAATCTAAGTTAGGCGCTATTCGTGTGAATAATTGATTATTTTTTAATAAATATATCAAATATAACAAATAAATCGAATAGAAATTAATTTCAACTAATTTTTAAAGATTCTTTGTTTTTTGCTATTTAGAAAAAATAATTTATTAAAACAAAAATGACACCTTTTAAATTTGATAAAAAATAATAAAAATTATATTTAAAGATGTATTTTGTTGTTGACCGCAGAATAAATTGTAGTGAAAAATTTAGAATAGGTTTGTATAAAATATAAAAATTAATTTTTATTATTATATTACTTGTTGAATTTCATTAAAAAATATAACTTACAGAAATCGGCACTTATTGTGTAGGGAATTTTTTTATCATTCCATAACATTGGAGTTACTTCACGATCGTCAAAATCTTGTATATGCATTTTCGGTGGTAGAACAATATCGCCTTCAATATGAGAACCTAATTCATCCGGATTAGGACTATTTTGTTCTGGATATATTTTACTTTTTGAATTCATTATATAAGAAGCAACATTGCATGGATAATTGAGAATATAAGTTTGTAAAGTAAATACTTTTAGTGGAGTAACAAATAATAACAGAAGGATAATTAGATTCTTAATTTTTCCCCGATTTATTGGTTTGACCATTTTTTTTCCCCTGCTAAAAAAGAAAATCACCACCTAAAGAAAAGATATTTTTCAATTCATTTTTCTCGCTGGCATTAAAAATAAAGTAAAATTTTATATTTTTAAAAATTAGAATTTTCTGAAGACAAGAACGTTTATTTAGTAAATATATGTATATACAATTTGTCGTATTGAGAAACGAGATCTTTAGTTCCGTATTTAAATGTATGTTTATTGTGCGAAAAATTATATTTACATTTCCTTATTAGCAATACGAATGTAAAGTCAAAATTTTGTCAAACCAAAAATTTCTAATTTGGAAAATATTTAAAAATCAAAAAATTAAGTTTCTGTATACTAACCTTCTATTCTATTAGTCGGTGAAGAAAATAGACTATTTTCAACTACTTTTAATTGAAATTACCAAAATAAAATTCACTCCACAATTTATTGAAATTCATACAGTTTTATGTGCAACAATGAGGAACGATTCTTCTAAACGTTGTCATTTAAGTACTGTGGCTAATCAAAAAAAAAAAAAGAAGAAGAAATATCTTTCAGGTTATAGTCACGTATTAAAACGCACACGTGCACAAAAGAAAATTTATAAACACTACGCCACTTGATTATATTTTCAATGTTGTCAAGATTTTGTTTTAACAATAAACGACATTTATAACGAAAATATTAATTGATAATCTATTTTATCGAATCCAGAAAAAAAATTATCACGGTTTCATTATTAACAAAATTGAAAAAAATCAAGATTTCATTGGTCATTTCCTAAAAAGATTATTACAATTATTTTTTTTTTGATAATTTTTGCAAATGTTTATTGTTTTATTTTTTTCTGCTTTATAAATACAAATAATTATCAATATATTTTGAATTATTAAAAGTAGTGAAAAATAAAAAATAATTTCTTTAATACATTAATTTAATTTTTCTTTATTGGGTAAAAAATTGAACAAAAGTAAAAATTTATAATTGCTTTTCTGTTGTAGCATACAAATTATTCTCATCACAATGAAATTTATGCATAAATTTTTCCAGGGATGTTATTTTATCTTCTGGATTTGTAGAAATGATTATCGGAATTTTACAGTATATGTACTGAATTGTTTCGGGCGGTTCTGTTTTCTCTGATTCACTTATTGTATCGTTACTATATTCTGAAAGAAGAAGTTCAATTTAGTATAGAAATTATCACTATTTCACGACTCTTAAGGTTATCGGTAAAAATAAATGATTTTCTCTCAAAAAAATATTGGATTTAAAAAAAAAAAATTTTTTTGGGACATATTATGTCCCACTTAGAAAAATTTATGTTATTATAATCGCTGGGTTTCTCGGGGGTACGAAAGGGTTAAGAAATTATTTTTGACAAAAAAACAAATTTTTATACTTAGTGCGTCCAAGGTTAGTTATTACTTACCAGATTTACAACTATAGAGGAACTTTATTCTTTCTATATCATTTTTACTAAGTCCTTGTCTTTGACCTATTAATACTGTGGACTAAAACAAAACATAAAAATATGCCTTTCAGATATACAGCTTCTATATAGACGTACGCTTAAAATAATTATAAAAGAAAACAATAATAGTAAAAATAAATCACCTTTAGTGGAACTATTGTTTGTAAATGACCACCCTTTGAAAAAGTTTGAGACGAATAATGCATGATACTAGAATAGTCATATTCAAAATTTTTGTATATAATATCTTCTTCCTTTTGCTTATAAAAATTAGTTTTGGCATCTACTCTTAAAAATTATGAAAATTAGTAAAAATGTTATGAATTTACAAATTAATCATCTGCTGTTGCTAAATCGTCAAAAAAAAAAAAAAAAACGTTAGATAAATTAGCAATGGCAGAGGTTTGAAGATACTGCAGACATATACTTACTAGGATAAACATTTTTTAATAAAACTTGTACATATTCATCTCTATCAGGTCTAACATGTTCATGAAAGAAACCTAAAGTATGCAATATTTCATGAATTATGCTTCCTTTATTTGAAAAACATTCATCCTTCTCTAAATATATAGGTTGCATTCCATTTCTCAAGTTTCCTATATGACTGGCGCATCCCTTGCCATTTTCAGACTGAAAATATACATAACTTAAATGTTTCGTGTTAGTCATTTTTTCTCTAAATCTAACACATGTTTCACTGGACTCTTCAATATACGCCATAGATTCAATAATCATGTTACGAAGTGTTTCATCTAAAAATAAAAAATAATTTGATTTGTATAATGATATACTTATTTTCATGATTCGGTGTTATATACATTGTAAGAAAGTTTATTGTAAAATGAATAGTCAGGGAAAATAATTTTAATGTCAGTAAATTGTAAGGGAAATTGAAAAACTGAAGCACTTGTGACCACCCTGTAATCATATATTCTAAAAAAGGAAATAAAAAAAATCAGTTATTTTTATGTAGTGAAAAAAATTAAATTTTTAGAATTCATAAGAAAATTCTCTTTGCTATTTTTATTCACCTTTTTAAATTTACAATATAGGTATATTTTTTCACAGTTTATTATTTTTTTGATAAATTTAATAACATAAGTAATAAATTTTCTTACTATAGTCCGATGAAATTTTGTATCGAACAATTCCCTTATACCAAAGGAACGCTTTATCTCTTACTACAGATTTAAATAAACTGGGGTTTATTATAATATCACCTTCAAAGTAAGATCCCCTTTCTTCAGGATTTCTACTTTTAAATTTCACACCGTCAACATTTATTTCCAATATATTAATCAGTAGAAATAAAAAACCTTAAAATAAATAAATTCACTTTTTACATATATAAGTCAATATATAAAAATATGAAAATCTGTAAATAATACCTTATTTTCTAATTTCTGAACAATTTTTAATTTTGCAAAAATATTATGAAATAATAAAATTTTAAATATATAATTTTTTTCAATTTTTTATAAAGTTATATGTATTATTTTTTAAAAAAATTATAATTTTCAATATTCACCTGCTAATATATTCATCACTATACCAGGAGTTTGTGAATATATTTGAGAAGTGACTTTAATAAAATTATTTGTTTTTATGAATTTTTGTTATTTATACGTGCAAGCGCATTCATGGAAAAAGTAGATAATCTGTAGAATAATGTTATACAAAGGAATTCTTTAAATGATTAAAAGCAATCTAAAATTTTTATTTTGTTAATTGGTTTCATGACACGTTTAAATTTATTTTTTTTTTTCAAATACATGACTAAATTTTATAAACTTTAGAGATGAACACGTTTCGGCACATTTATGCATTACTGTAAATATAGTTGATTTTAAAAGTGTTATATTAATTAATATTAAATTTCGTATAAAATAACAAATTTTTAACCGTTTGACAACATTCTTTTTTTAAATTAAAGATATTAAAATTTTGCATAAGACGCGTACTATTATTATTTTTTGAAAGAATTTCGTTAAGTGTTTATTAAAGATAAAAAAATGAGAAATTCCTTGACTTTAAACAATATTGTTATGTTCAGCGATTAACATAATTAGTTTACAAACGATTTTTCATTCTTTGGCATTAAATAATTAAATGAATATTCTATTAAACTTAATATTAAAATTGTTCTTTAAATGTCAAAAGAAAAAAAAATCACTCAAACTGAAACTCCTCTTGCTTATTGCACACTTGTACATTCGGCGAATTTTTTGAATATCTTTTTTACTAAATCCAACTCGTTGTCCTATTTCTTTGGTGTCTGTTCCCTAGAGAAAATTGAAAAAAAGGTTATTCATTTTTTTCTAAATTTTTCCTGTGATTAAAAAATTTTTTTACAAAATTTGACAATTTACCCTTGGAATAAGAGTTGGTTGTCCATTTTTTGAAAATGCACCAGATGAATAGTGCATGACACTGCCATAATCATAATGAACTCCAAAGGCATCTGTTGTCTTCCTCGAAGCTTTTTCGAAATTTTTTTCATGTCCTGAAAAGAATTTTTTTAGTATTTATATAGAATTCTATTCATAGTAGATCCCTGCACCGACATTTACCGACACTTTTTAGTTCAGACTCAAACCATAGGTTAAACTGAAGGTCAAGCACCTAGACCTTATATAACACTTGCCCCACCCTGATATGGTTTGAGTCTAGGCTAAAAAATGTTGGTAAATGTCGGTGCAGGGATCTTCGGAGAAAAAAGGCAAGAATCATAAAGTAATTTACTATTTATGCCACCCAAGTATATTAATATATTTACCAGTTTGAATATTACGCCATTGTACGCTGACAAAATCGTCTCTCTCGTATCTACTATGTTCATGCAAAAATCCGATGACGTGCATTAATTCATGTATTACTGTTCCTTTCTTCGTGACACAACCTGGTACCTGTAGATTCATATCCTGACGCCCACCAATTTTTCCCACACTACTCCAACAACCAGTATTACCAGCTGTTATTCGAATATAATCACTCTCCTCGCCAGTATATGGTTTAAATTGAATACAAGTGTCTTTTTGATAATCATCCATTGCCTCTTGAATCAAAGCACGCTGCTCCTTATCTATTATAAATTTTCAAAATAGAAACGAAAAAGTAAGAATATCTATAAAATCAAGAATCTATTCTCCTTCGGGCCTTTCTACACGGTCGGTACTGTCATACACTGAATTATCAACAAATTTTTAATTTTTACCATCATTACCGACCTTACCGACAGAGTAGAATTTTTGGCGGGAATTTTAAATTAATAAAATTTTTTTTCTGATAATTCTTACTGAAATAGGGACTGATCATGTAGGGTATGACTCCATTTGGCCAACGGGCCGAAGTTGGTTTGAGACCATTGCGTCCCATTGCACTGGGAAATAGAATATCGCCCTCAATGTATTCTCCAAGTTCTTCGGGATTTACATTCATTTCCGCATTCCATTTGGCGACACGATTACCGCTCTCTGGACTCGGCTCGCCAAATAAATTTTCCCCCAATCGTGTCAAATAGGAGACTATACCGTCCGTATTTTCAAGGCCATTGTCAAGGACACTAGCTTGAGGGAAAGGCCATCCATCAGAGGTCCTTGAACCGGACACTAATATTGTTATCAGCATCAGCAATAAATCAGTCATTTCTTTAAAACGAAAATAATTTATAATAATTTTATAACCTCTAAAAAGTCAAAAAAAAAAAAAAAATGAAAAAATTAAGTGAAAAAATTTTTTTTACAAATTAATCAATAAAATTTTAAAGTTAAACTTTAAAATAAAAAAAATTTCAAAATATATTCGCAGTAGATCCTTCAAATAATTAATTCCCAAAAAAATATCTCAATATCGGGCTTCGAAAGTGTAGAGGACCCCAATGAAGAAAGGGAATGATAAGCATAAATATTGGTAGAGTTTGTTTATTAAAGTGTTTGGAAAATATTTCCAAGCTTCTATAACCTTTAAGAGGATAAGAGAAACTACCATTTTTTTGGTGGGTGCTTAATAAAGTGTTTGGAAAATATTTCGAGGTTTCTAAATAACCTTAAAGAAGACAAGAGAAGCGACCATTTTTTTAGTGGGTGCTTAATAAAGTGTTTGGAAAATATTTTGAGGTTACTATATAACCTTAAAGAAGAAAAGAGAAGCGACCATTTTTTTGGTGTGGTGCTTAGTAAAGTGTTTGGAAAATAATAAATTAATTACTAAATTTAATTTTTTTTTTCATTTCAGTTAAATTTTAACAAATTAATTTTTTTTATATCTATATTCAAGATAATTCACCTCGATCCGACTAGGGTCCTGGTGGGAAGTGAACAAACTACAAAAATCCGTTTAGTAAGAAAAGGAAAGAGATATTTTCGTCCTCTTTTCTCACTATTGGAATTTTTTAGTTAATCAACTTGCCACCGGGATCCTAGACCCTAGTCGGATTTAGGTGAATTATCTAGTTTATATTCTTAATTTTTTGCATTTGTGACGCGACACGAAGAAAGGGACCTAGAAAATTCATATAGAGTTATTTTTGTTATATTTCAAAGTGATAATGATTATAATTATTAATTAACTTAATACTGCTATTATTAAATAACATACCTTAAATTTTCTTTTATTCTCTGCGAGCGGGAAAATAAGAAATTTAAAACTTTGCAAATCTTATTTTAAATTGTAAAAGAAAATTACTCTTTACAAAAAATGAAACAAATTTAAAAAATTAAAGTTAAAAATAAAAATTTCCTAAATATTTTCGCAAAAATTGAGTCTATAGGTTGTTATTCGAGAGGAAACTGACTAGGTTAACAACGTCCGGTGATGATTTTATATTAGTGAGGATAAGGTCGTTTACCCCCGTTGAGATAATTTTTTTTTTTTTTTTTTGCAAATGCGGAAGTTTCGGGGACGGATTCCTGCGATAGCCGTGAACTCTTAAAACCGGAAATAACGATTTATTCAAATTTTTTAGGGTTCTTATTTTAACCCGATTTAGAGGAAAAATTAGCAAGACCGGTTTCTTCAGATTAAGAACTTATTAAAAAAAATAATTAAATTTAATATTATTTTTATTATTCATTAATATTATTATTGTTAATATTATTTTTATTAGTTTTTTAAACAAATAAATATTTATTGACATGCAATGTAGGTAAAAATTTGAAAAAAAATTTATTTTAATTATTATAAACATTTTAAAATTTAGAGTTGTTTTTTTTTAAAACTCGATTGAGATTTAAAATTAAAATGAAGACTTGGATGTCTTATATCCTTATTAAAATGGATATTTGTCAAAATATAAATATTGTTGATGTTACGTAATGATTTTATGGCCTCAATAAATATTCAAGGTTAATCCTGTACTTATAATAATTTTTGCAAATTTTTGATTCTTTTAAAAATTTACAATAAATATCTTTTTCATAATAATAATAATAATAATAATAATAATAATAATAATAATAATAATAATAATAATAATAAATTTCGAGAATTACAATTTAGTAAATAATTATTTATAATATTAATAATAATAAAAAATATAATAATTAATATAATAATTGACATTAATAATAATACTTATAAATAAAAAAATAATTATGTTTTAATATTTTTAGGTTAAACATTACTGATAATTATTATGTTTATTAATAAAATTTTTATTTGTTAAATGAATATAAAATTTTTTTTTTAATTTAAAAAATTTTTTTTAATTAATTTATTTTTTTAATAAATTTTTCATTTATTTTATTTTTTATGACAAGAAACCAGTTCATGACCAAAAATGTAGAGCTAGATAAAAACTACTATGGAATAAATTTGAATATTTAATCTCACCTATCGTTAACTATATTTAAATTTTTCAAATGAATAATAGGACAATGGAAAGTTTCTATTTCGAGTTTAAAAGTGTGAAATTAAACACAAAGGAAAATAAAAATAAATTTTTTTAAAAAAACATTTTCTTATAACTAATTTTCTCTTATTTAAAAATATTATTACAATTATTAAAATTAGTTATTTACATAGTATGTTATCGTTTGCAAAAAAAAATGTGGAAAAAAAATTCTATTCTTCTCTTTAAAGAAAATTAATATTTTTTTTGAATTTCCCGCCAAATGAAAGAAATCGTCATCTAACGGCAAAATTATAGACTACGAGTTGTAAACAGTTGTTGCGCATAACCTCAAAATTATCCATTAAAAAAGTAAAATACACGTTCTTTGTCTGCTTTTTTGTAAATAAAAATAAATATAAATAATATTGTTAATTCTGTTTTTTTGTTTTCTCTATTTGTAAACGTTAAAAAAGAGTTTTGTGAGAAGAAAAAACAAACAAAATGACAAACGAAGAGAGTTGGCAGGAAATAATAACAGCCTCTAAAGAAAATCGACATGAATTAATATTAAGCGGTGTGGAAATATCAAAAAGAATTTCATCTAATGGTCTTGATAGGACATTATTTTTTCTTGAAAATCTCAATTATTTAAATATTCATCAAACAGAATTAACTGAATTACCAATTGAAATTGGTAATCTCATTAATCTCACGACACTTGTTCTTCATTCAAATCAATTGAAAACAATTCCATGCACAATTAAGAAATTAACAAAACTCAAAGTTTTTGATTGTTCACGTAATAAATTGGAATTATTGCCAAATGAATTAAGTGAATTACCATCGATAACGACAATTAATTTCAGTTCAAATTCACTAAATCATTTACCATCGCAGGGAAAAAATGTGAAATTAGCATTATTGGATTTGTCGAATAATAAATTTGATAAATTTCCCGATATTTGTTACAATGAACTTGTACATCTCGCTGAAGTTCGAATTAATGGGAATTTAATTGAAAATATTCCCGGCGATATTCACGTGTTAATTGCCCTGAAACTTTTTGATTTGTCCGATAATAAAATTTCCAGTAAGTTGAAATTTATTGTTTTTCTAATATTTTAATCTCTCTTTTAGTGCGAATTTTGAAATTCGTTTTTTGAGTCTTAAACAAATTTTTTTTCTGTGAATTTTAATATTTAATATTAATTTTATTATTTAATATTTAATATTAATTTTAATTAATTAATTTTATTAAATTCTATTATTAATTATTATTATATTATTAAAAAAATTTCAGTTGTCCCACGAGAATTGTCGGACTGTGGAAAATTAAAGGACCTAAATTTAAAGGGTAATAATTTGTCGGACAAACGTTTATCGAAATTAGTCGATCAATGTCGTACGAAGCAAGTACTCGATTATGTGAGGCAACATTCGCCGAAAATGTCAGGCGACAATGATTCAACGTCAGTGAAAACGAAGAAAGGAAAAAAATCACGAAAATTATCGGAAAATGAGCAAAATGTGAATGTTATTGATAAATTAACGCACGAATTGAAAGTCATGAAAATAACTGATGAAACGCCAAACATTGAAATTAATGAAAAAGTGAAGACAGTTCGTCCACATATTATTGCGTGTATTGTTCGCAATATGACATTCACTGATGAGAGTTTTAAGAAATTCATTCAATTACAAACGAAATTACACGATGGAATTTGTGAGAAACGAAATGCTGCGACCTTAGCGACACATGATTTAAATCTTCTAAAAGCTGGTAATTTTCTTTTTTTCAACTTTTAAATAAATTAAAGTTAAATATTTTTGGAATTTTCCGAAACTTTTAATTATTCAATTTTACTTTCTGGAATTTTGTTAATTAATTTCTGATTCTATATGTAAAAATTGTATATTTAAAAGTAAAATACTAATCTAATTTCACTTCTTTAGTAAAGAAAATTATTTAATTTGTAAATAATTTAGACATTTTTAATATTTAACAAAATTCATATTTTAAATAAAAAAAACTTTTCAATTTTTAAGAAATAAAAATTAGAATTTTCAACTTTTATCGTAAATTTTGGAAGTAGTCTTTTTTAAAGAATTTAATTGCAATTCGATCTTAAAGAGTTAAAATTTAGTTTAAACTAATTAAAAAATTTTTAATCGAACCATTTTTATTCGCAGCCTTAAATTAAAAGTAAAAATTTTAAATTGAACATTAAAAGAAAATGAAGAACAAATTTTGATATAATAATTAATGGAAAATTATTTACTAAAAATGAATTAATTTTTACTTAAAACTGATTAAAAAACATTTAATTGAACATTAATTGAAAGTTAAAACTGACTCAAAATTTTCATTCAATTTTTAATAATTTTCTTTTTAAATGTTAATTATCAAATTTAAAATAAATAAACAATTATTAATGTGATAAATTTGTAAAAATAGTTTTCTTTTTCTTCAGGAAATCTCAAGTACACAGCAATGCCGCCGGCAGAAATTCAAATTAAGCCACTAATGCGAAACAAAATCTATTCGGGCGCTGCACTTTTTAATCAATTGCAAATGGAGGCGGAAAATTTGCGTAAAGAAAAGAAGCGCAGCGTTTATTCAGGAATTCATAAATATTTGTACCTGATTGAAGGAAAAGCATTGTTCCCCTGTCTTTTGGACAGCGACAATCAAGTAATTTCCTTTCCACCAATCACCAATAGTGATATCACAAAAATGTCGACGAGCACAAAAAATATTTTTATCGAAGTGACAAGTGCGACTTCACAAAAAATTTGCAGGTATTTTTATTTTTTCTATTGAAAAGTGCTTTTTTTTTAATTGAAAAATGCAGCGAATGAAAAATTCAAAATTTAGAAAAAAAATTGAAATTTAATTTAATTTTAAAAATTTTAAGAAAAAAATTTATTTTTATTATTTTACAAATATAATAATTTAAAAATAATACTTTTTTCTGATTTTTAGACAAGTAATGGATCAATTCCTGAAGGAAATTGTTATCCTAGGATTGGGTTGTACACCGGAATCAAACGAGACGGAAGAATTTCACAAACTGATCGTGGAACAAGTGAAAGTCGTTGATTCTGAGGGAAATATGAAACAAGTTTATCCTTGCAGGACAGATTTGAACTTTGAGGATAACAGCATTGCGATAAATCGCGAATAAAAATTTTTTTTCTTGTTTATTTTACCTTTTTTTACAAAAAAAAATAAAAGGTAAATATCGCGTGAGTCATTTAAATGACTAAAATAATTTTCTTCATACGAGTTATTGAAATTTTTTCACTTCTAAATGTTAAGGAAAAGTTTTTTTTTTCATTTTGAATCAATGAAAATTTTCATTTTTTTTAATACTCTGAATTTTTCTTATCATTTTTTTTAATACTCTGAATTTTTTTCTATAATTTTTTTTCTATTTTTTCCTATTTTTGTCAATCATTGTTTTCTATTATTTTTTTTATCTAAAGAAAATTGTTTTTTTAAACTTTAATTCTTCAGGTGTCAGAAAGGAATTTTTCAGTTAAAAATGTTATTTTTAAACTTAAAAAAAATCCGTACATGTGAAATATGAAATTCGTCTATAAAAAAATTATAAATTATGTTAACAGAATATTTAAACAAATGTTTTTGTTTTCTATAAATTTTTCTAATTTTTGTGACTCATTTTTATTTATAAAATATGAACACTTCATTTTTATGCTGTTTGAGTGAATTAAATGATTATGAAATAAGAGAAGGAAAAAAATTGTGGATTAATACGAATTATTTAGAGTTTATTGAGTTTATTTTATATTTACAAAACCGTAATGGAAGAAACAAGAAATAAAGAATTCCATATTTTTTCGAAAAACTGTTTTTTTAATTTATATCAAATTTTTATTTAAAAATAACCTGGCGCAATCAGGCATTAAAAAAATTTTATTTAAAAATTATAGTACAATTATAATAATAATAATTTCAAATTGATAATAATATGTAATAATATTATTATTATTATTGTTGTTATTATTATTTTTATTATTAATTATTATTATTTATTATTATTATTAATAATTATTATTTATTATTATTATTTAAAAATCATATTTGATTTAAAAATAAAATAAATAAAGATAATAAATAATTGAACTGTATAATAAATAATAATAATAATATCTCATTGTTAAATAAACTTTTAATATTAGTCACAATTTACACTATTTAAGAGAAGAAATTAAAAGAAAATTACATTTTTCTCATTTTGAAAACTTTTTTCCCGCCTTTAGTTTAAAATTTTGAACAGATTTCTGGGTAATCGAAGGTTATAGGGTTTTACGTATGTTAAAGAATGAAAAATAATAATAAATAAAATATAGTGTTTAATAAAATGACAAGAAATAATGAAAAGTTTTTCCTATAACAAAAGAGGAATTTTAAAATATGCCTCATCATCATTGTTACAAAGTTCAATATTTATATTTTTTGAAATTAAAAAAAAAACTAATTTTTGTTTTCCCCTGCGATCACGTGACATTTTAGTACGAATTTTCGCTACGTCCACAGCGCCATCTTATGTTCTTTCAGTGTCACTATAAGAAATACACGCGAATGCCGGTTGTGCAGTGTGTGTGTTCATTTTTCTTTTTATTTCTTTGATTGAAAAAAAAGTATATCTATATTTTTCAAAAAAAAATAACTAATCCGTCATTTATTGTTTTCTTTTTCAAAAATAATAGCAACAATTTAAAAAAAAGAGAAACACGTCTCAGCAACGAATTTAAAAGTAATTTTTCCTTTTTATTATTTTAATATATTGTCATCGCGAATCACGAGGCAATTTGTACCTTTTTACTAATAATAAATATACAACTTTATACATACTGTACATATACATATATATATATTTTTTGTGTGATATATTTAATATATAAAGAGATTAGAAGTCGTGCAGTGAATCTTTAATATATATATTTTTTTCATTCTCAACGTGCGTGTAATATTGTTTGAAGTGTGTTAATAATTTGTTGTAAATATGGCGCTTAAACGTGACTGGACATGACCATTTGAGAAGAGAAATACATATTTTGAGGTTAGTTTTTCTATTTCGTATATACATATACATACTTCTAATAATTATATTCTCTTTTTGCGAAGGGGAGAGGAATATTTTTCTATAGAAAGAAAAAATTTTTTTCCTACAAAAAAAAATTTCTATTTTACTGATATAGCGATATTTAAAAATTTTTTTTTTATTTTCTGACAATGTAAATTCGTAACGATTGTTAATTTTCGTTTAATATGTATTACCACCGTATTACAATAGAAACGTGATTTTTGCTCTTCGAACTTGTGTGTTAGAGAACGTCCTTGAGAATCTTCAATTCTTGAGAATAGTAAATAATAAAATAAATGGAAATTCTATTATTATTTTTATTTGAAAAATTTTTCATTTTCAGAAAATGAATTTTTATGATAATTTTTTTATAATAAAATAAATAGAGATAAAAAAGAACATTCAGTATTATATAGATGATTATTAATTTTTTTTTTCTCTCTCTCTCTCTCTCTCTCTGTAACGTACAAAACGTCACGTGGCACAGTGACTACGTCGTTGGAAGTTATGTTTTTTTTTCATTTTCTTTTTTTTAACATCAAAATTTTATTATCTTTGATATAGAGAAAAATTGTAAAATTACCATTATTATTTAGAGCTCTATAAGAAAGACAAGCACAAAATTTTTCATTTTCGTGTGTTTGATATATTTGTGAAAGAAAAAAAAAGGAGAACAAAAGAGATATCCAGGTTCTGTTGTTATTGCCAAATTCTATAAATAAACAAAGTAATCATCCGTCAAGAGGCTCTTAACCCTCAATAATATATATACATATATTATAGGCTTTAACGAAAAATTATTTTTGAATTGGCAACAATGAATTTAGATATACTCTTGTAAAGAAATAATTTCTTCCCTTTTTGGAAATAAATTTATTAACGTTTTTCCTATAATGGGAAAGGGGGGGGGGGTGCATTTTTTACACTAAAGCTAACATAACCTAAAATTCCAAAATAGTTTTTTTTTAGAGAAAGTTTAATATCTTTCTCCCCAAATGGTATACTTTAAACGCTTTAAACGTTTCGCAATTTTTCAAATGATAAAAATTTCCAAAATCTCTATAATCTTTTAATTTAAAAGATGTTTTGTTAAAAAATATATATTTATATAAAGATAATTTTTTTTTATAAATACAAAAAAGTTATATATATGGTCTTCTTGGTATCTGATTGCAAATTTTCCACTAACCTCGTAAAATAAAAGTAACTATAGTGTAATATTAATAATAATGAAGATCGTAATAATTTTATAAACAATTTAATTAACTAATTAATTCACTAACTGATTAATGAAGTAATTAATTAATTATTTAAATAATTAGTTGAAAGCAGTTAATTTTATTGTTATGTTTTCAATATTTTTATAAACAATTTAATTAATTGATCAATTAAAATTGTTATTAATTATAAATTAACAGTATTTAATTAATTAATTATTAAATATCTTAACTGAAAACTTAATTATTCAATAATTAACTAACTAATTGATTAATTAAGAAATTAAATTAGTGAATAATTAAGTGATGAACTCAATTTATTTATGTAATTTATTATAATATTAATTAATTAAGTAATTAAGTTAGTGATTAATCAAATAATTAACTTTTTATTTAACTAAATAATTAATTAATTATTCAATTAATGAATTATTAACCAATTAATTAATTAATTAATTATTTAAAATCGGTTACTTTTATTTTTATTAATAATTTCATAAACAATTTAATCAACTAACAATTGATTAATTAGGTGATAAATTAATTGTTTAACTAAATAATTAGTTAAAAGCGGTTTTTTATTGTTTGTGACAATTTTTTAATTAATTTAATTAGTTGGTTAATAAAAATAGTTAATATCTATAAATTAACAGTTTTTCATTAACTAATTATTTACATAATTAGTTAATAACTTAATTAATTATTTACATAATTATTAGTTAATAACGTAATTAATTATTTAATTCATCACTCAATTAATTAAATAATTATATTAGTGATTAATAACCAGGAATAACATTTAAAAAAATAAATAAATATAAAGAAACGTGGATTTTTTTTCATTTCGACAACAAATTTTATTCTTTTTTCCCTAAATCATACAATTTTCTAAAGCAAAAAAGAAACTTAATTTCAACACTTTCCTACACATTTATTAATTTGTAGAATTATTTAAATATATATGTCGTATAGGTGTGTGAGAGAAAGTTTAATGTGTTTTTTATAATAATAATAAACGAAAATCGAAAAAAACTTATAATTATAAAAAAATGAGTAATAAAATGCGGTAAATATTATGGAATGGATTTTCACAGTGATTGTACATTTACATACATATTTTTATATTTATATAGACACATTCAAGTTCTATTTTTTTTTTATACATGAAAAATATTTCGTGGATCGAAAAATATATATATATATATATATTTCTCTCTCTATTTTAATTTAAAAATAAAGTGACCCAGTTAACGATATATTTATTTATTCACAAACTTTTCATTTTTATCTCTGTGTAGCATTTTTTTTCAAAATTAAAAATTTCATTTTTTTTTCAAAATTAAAAATTTCATTTTTTATAGAAAAATTTATTGAATTTATATTGAAATATTTTTTTTAAATATTTATTTTTATAAAGAGTAATTTTTAACTTAAACATATTTTTTATATTAAATTAAATATTTGAAATTTTAAAGTAATATATATATATATACGAAAGGAACAAAAATAAAAAGATGAAATGTAGATTTTTGTATCTAATTCAAAATATTTTAATTTTTCTTTTTCCTAAATGAAAGATTGTAAATAAATTAAATAAATCTTTTTTTTTTCGTTTTTGAACTTTTTTATGGAAGAAAAAATTTATCTATATTGTATACTTTTTTTTCTATTTCACATACATTGGAGTTTTTAAAAAGGGGGGAAGAACCGATTTTCTTCATCACATATATGCTGACTAGTTTGCTTAAGAGATTTTCTTTTTCCAAAAAAAGAGAAATTAAATTGAGAATTTTTATATTTATTTTACTTTTCGCTGTTGTTCGCGTTCTTTCACATCAATTATTCCAAGATTTATGCACGCGACATAGCCGTGAATTAGAGAAAGAATTGTTTTCACTAATGCAACTGGAGCTGAGAGTAAGAGAATTGCTCTGAACAAACTTATTCCGGCCACTGAAATGAAAACAAAATTAATATTATTAATTTAATTAATAAATTAATTTTAGATTCTATAAAATAATTAATTAATTAATTAGTCTATAAAATAAATTATAGAATTACGAATATTGACTAATATTTTGAGATTCAATATGGAGATGATATTCTCCACCTGCGAACGCCAAGGTCACCGCTAGATGGCAGTTCGCAGTTCCTTCTTGGAATTTTTACTGCCATCTGGCGGTGACCTTGGCGTTCTCAAGTGGAGACATTAAATCATCATTTTATCCCTCAAGGAACTTTTTTTTATAAATAAAAAAGTGGAATAATTTAAAGTCGGTTTTTAGTATGCACATTTATAATACTTTATAAGAATAATTGATTATATAATTTGGGTTTTAAAATTGGTTTTTTAAAATGTTCAACTCACATATGGGTCCTTCGGTGAAATGCAAGAGGTACAGAGCAGCATAAAACGCCTCATTTCCAGCGCACATGAAAAACAATACCGTTCGATTTGTATAGTAAACACGCATTATTGGATTTTCCGACATGTCAATAAATTTGTGACTCGTTTTCCCTTGAAGCAATGACCTGAAAAATTTTAGTTTTCTTCTTTAAATGAATCAAAAGAACAACGAATTAAACATACAGAAAATAATATTTTTAAATATTTTTTATTTTGTTGTTTCTAAAATTAATAATATTTTGATGATACTAATAGCCAAGACGCTAACTTTAGGGATCTGCTTTATTATTCTGTGCAAAAATTTCTTACGTGTGTAGAAAAATCCAATGACACGCAATATCAATGGCCATACTGAGTTGAAACCAAAATGTATAGGCTGGATAAAAATGACTGAGTGTAACTAGGAGGCACATTGTGCCACAACGATCTGTCAATTGATCCAAAATAGCACCAAATTTTGTACTTTGATTGAAATATCTAGCTGCATGTCCATCGAATGCATCCAATAGTGCACTCGTAATGTAACACCATGACGCAATAATGTGATTCGTTGGCATAAAGTAAAACGATATTAGGGCCAATATCACTCTTCCATATCCTATATTTAAAACAAAAGAAATAATTAAAAACTAGAATAAATAATTATATTAAATAATATAACTTCAAATATATCTGTACAAAATATAAAATTAAAAATATGTTTTATCATTAAAAAATAATTCTGTACTTCTTCTGTTCTTGTTACTCTAATTGAAAGTTTCCATTTAATTCGATCCGCCATTTCGAATTTTGAAAATCTAACATCAAATTCGTGTTCAGCGACCCCAAAAACCCCCGAGCGACAATTTTTAAGCGAATTCTAGCAATTATCAAAAAAAAAGATCATCCGCCATATTGGATCCGCCATTTTGTATTTTAAGAAACTAACACCGAATTCGCAATCAGCGACCCAAAAAACCCCCAAGTAACAATTTTCAAGCGAATATAGTTCATTTTAAAATAACTCACCGCCATATTGGATCCCCCATTTTGTATTTTAAAAATCTAACATTGAATTCGCAATCAGCGACCCCAAAAACCCCCAAGTAACAATTTTCAAGCGAATACAGTTAATTTTTAAATAACTCGCCGCCATATTGAATCCCCCATTTTGTATTTTAAGAAAGTAATACCAGATTCGTAATAAGCGACCTCGAAAACCCCTGGATACTAAATTTAATAACAATTTAACAATTTTTTAAAAATTCGTTCGCCATATTGGATCCGCCATTTTGAATTTTGAAAATGTAACGTCAAATTCGTTGTCAGCGACCCCGAAAATCCTCTAGCAACAATTTTCAAGCGAATACAGTTAATTTTAAAAAAACTCCTCCGCCATATTGAATCCACCATCTTGAATTTTGTAATTCTGCCTCAAAAACTTAAACAGACGATTTCTCAGAGACAAATAAATATTTTTTAATTTTCAAAATGCCTATTAAAGAAGGAGAATAGTACTTTTAGATACAGTACTGCACTTTTTTAAAAAAAAAAATTTTTCTAATGTTATATTGACCTGAAATGTAGTCGAAGAATTCTTTTTTTATATTTTCAGGTTAGAATATCCCAAAAATTTTCTTTGTAAATATTATTTGATTCTTGGTTAGAAAATTTAATCAAATATATTCATGCGTTCTGTGTGGTATATTTTACCCGACATTGAAAGTTATATAAAATGTGTGATAGAATGTTAAATACAATCAATAGAAGAAGTCTTTCAAATACCGGATACATCTTCATCCGTAAGAATACCATTATTGTTGCGTACAATTGAATTTTAAAAAAAAAATTTTTTTTATAGAAAAAAAAATGAAAATTTATTATAATATTTTTTAAATAATAGTAAAAAATATTTATTCAATTGTAAATTATACAAAAATTTGCTTTTTATTAATCAAAAAATAAGTTTTAGAAAAATATTTCCATTTTGTTGCGATTTTAAATGGAGTAAAACACACGAAAAATCAATAAAATTTATAAATAAATCTCATTTCATCTCGAGGGAAAATGAAATAAAATATTAAAGAAATGAATTTATTTAATTTAACAACAAAATACATTTTTTTGATAAATCGTTAATATAATTAAAGATTTGTTTATTTTTTCTTAATGTAAACTTTAATAATTAATAATTAAATACATAATTAATATAAATATTTATCAGACATGTATGATTAATTTATTATATAATAATAATAGTAATAAATACCAAAATAATATCAATAATAACGATGAAAAAAAATATTTGAACTCTGCTAAGAATTATGAATGAATGTTTTATATTTTGATTTTCGTAAATAATATACAAGTTGTCACACTTTTATTTACCAATGATATTGGGTACGAAGATGAAAATATTTTCCGTTTCCGTCATTTTTCCAGTTTATTCGATTCTTCCTCTTTCGCGATACTGACACTTGACGAGTATAAAACTGAGATTACTTTATTTTTTATTCAAAGAGAAAAAAAGATAATTCTTCACGGATTGTTTGTTCTATTCTAAAGTGAGGTAGTTATAAATGAAAAGAGAAGAGTGAAAAAAAATTATTTTTCTTTATAATATCACTGTTATCGCGAATGACAAAACACCACTTGCAATCAGTGATGTTAATTATTATCTAAGAACTATTGCTCACGAACGAACGTGTGGGAGAGAAGAAAAAAAAATAATAATTGAAATATTGCTCCCAGTGTTGCACACGCACACGCCAGAAACGCAGTAGAAAAATAACAGAACGTCAATGATTCGAGATTTCTCGAAACGCAACTTCGATTAGTCGATTTTAAAGCTTTCGATAAATCTTTCAAAAACAGGCGCGAAATTGATTTATTTTGCTTATTTTTTGTTTCCTACTATTTATTATTTATTTCCTTCTCGTTCGCTTGTTAATTCTACCTTTTATTATTTTACATCTTTTTTTTACCATTTTCTATTTTTCTCTCCTGGGGTCCTTGTCGCCTTGATTTTCCGCTCCTGACTTACCTGTACAATACAAATTTCCAGTTACGTGTTTAAAGAAAATTCTCCCCAAAAAATTTAATTCGAAATTGAAATCTCTATTGTTGCCTAACTATTGTTAGCATTATTTGCTAATAAATGTTAACAATTGTTTAAAATATACAAAAAAAAATTTTCGTTTTGATTTGAATTTCGCGCCAGAATACTAAACTAACCTCATCTGTCAATTTTTGAAAAGAAAATATATTTTCTCGAAACAAACGAATAATGGACAAAATTCTTTTTCGATTTTATTTTCATTCTCAAAAATTATAGGTTTTTTTCTCTCTTAAAGTAAAAAAAAAGTTTTAAAAATTATTTATTACAAAACCCCCGGGGAGGGTAATGACACTGATTGTTACGCTCCTGAGACCAGACGACATTTTTGGAATCGCCAGAAGGCGGCTCAACATTTGTCTGCGCAAAAGCGTTTCGTGTGTCGAGCAAAAGTTAAAAAAAAAAGACCAAAAAAAAAAAAAGAACACTGAAAAAAAACTCTCCGGGCGCACAACTTCGCGACAGTTACACTCTCTCGTTCCCCTGGCAGAAAAAAGAACCACCCACACAAAAAATGTACATAAAAAATACTTGATTGAGAGTGTGAACCCCTTTTTTTTCTCATCGGCGAAATAAACAGTTTTCAATCGTCATATTTCGTGTGTGTCTGTGTGTATATAAAATAAAAACGAGATATACGTCACTGTTATTCGCGAGTGTCTAGAGTTTTTTTTTCTGTTTCTCGCACTGTGTGTCTCTCTCCCCCCCTTCCCCCTTGTGTGTTAAATTTTTATTTATCCCTCCACAAGTGTTAAAACAATAGTTTTATGTTCTCATTTTTGATTTGTGTTCTTCCCTGATAAAAAAGGAAATATTTCTTGAAAAAACATTAAGTGGTGGGGATGAAGGGACAAATGGTGGAGAATAATAAAAAAAAACTTGAGAATTGAAAAGTGTTTTTTTAAAAATTAGACTGACACGTGTTGAATTCCATTCTTGGCCCTTAAAGAAACACACACATAAAACGAAAAACCCCGAGTGAGTGAGAAAGAGAGAGAGACCCCAGAGAAGGTTAATCTCGCCGATCGATAAACTGTCAAGGATTTTTCCCATCCATGTACCCAGAATTTGTTTCAATTTTAGTGTAATTTTTTCCAAAATTTCATCAAGTAATTTTTATTTAACGAAAAGAGGAACAATTCTCGTGTTTATGAGACTATTTTTTTTTTTTTGTAAAAATGGACAATTTCGAGAAAATGATGCTGATGGTGATAAATCGATGCGGCCCTGACACATCATCATCATCATCATCATGTGAAAAATAAAATCAGTGTTTTTAAATTTAAAAAAAGGGAATAATAGAAAAGAGGAAAGGACCTTTTTTCCTCCCTCTCTCTCTCTATCTCGTAATGAAAAATGATTTTTTTGAAATAATTCTTATGATAACGTCGTACGGTCGCCATTTTGAATTCGGTCCCACTCCAGAGACGTGTAAATGTAGTGTACGTGAGGAGTGTATATGTGAAAAACTTGTTCTCTCTTCCTTCTCGGCATTTGACGTGTAATAGTATTTTTTTTCTCACTGTGTGTGTTATAAGAAAAATTTTCGGTATATGGAAAAAATTTTTTCTTCCTTTGATTTCGCAGAAAAGGGAAATTGAAAATCTAATCGAGAGTTTTCCTTTTTTTCAACTAAAGAATTTTTCATAAATAGAAGTTATTTATTTCAAAGTGTTCGAATGTTCTCAACCTAAAAGGGTGGGACGATGAAAAATCTTTAAAAAGGTGGAAATGGATAAATTTTAGGTTAAGATTCATATCGCGAGGACTAATTTTTCAAAGAAATCAGAAAAGTGCCATTTTCTTCTCTCAAAAGTGAAAAAATTCTTTTTTAGATAATATTTTCGAAAAAGATTCCTAATTTTCATGACTCGACATAATAATGACAAGTGATGATTGTCTTGTTTGGAATTATTCAAATTGGGGAGTGTGCAAAAATTTTCATCACTTGATGTTAATTGAGGAAAAATCGAGGACGTGGTGAAATTTTATTTTTTTTCGGGGTGTGTTTTTTGTTTCTTTTCAAGAATTAGTGGACAAGTCTAAAAAATTTTAAAAGTCCCCCCCTTTTAAAGGGGGGTGTGGGGTAAACTTAAATGAGAGGATCACGGGATTTTCGTATTGGTTTTAAAGATGTGGACGGTAATGATGACGATGATGATGGTGGTGGTGGTGGTGGAGGTGGTGTGAGTATTGATAGTGAACTGTCGATTTCAATCAAAATGGCCCCTGGCCCGGAACATCGTCAGGAACCATTGACAAGTGATAAAAATACGGAAAATCGTGTTGTTGTACAATTGACAAATGAAACAAATGGTGAATTAAATACTAATGTCGTCGATAATAGTTTGAGTAACAATTCAAATAATATTGAAAGTGTCGATGGGATTTCGAATAATTCTCAGTCCATTCCAGTTCATTCCTTGGCTGATAATAAACAGGTGAGGTTAGGTTTTTTTTATTCTCTAATAATCAAAATGAATATTTTTTTCAAAAATTTTCTTTCTACTCTATTTTTTTATTGTTATTCTCGTTTCTTTGCTATATTTATTTAGTGAAACGTCGGAATCGAAAATTTAAACATAACCTAAAATTTGCAAAATATTTAAAAAGTTCAAATTTTGTAGAAATTTATTAATTTATAAAAATTACTACTATTATTTTCATACTATTTTTTAATATTTTCATTTCATTTCTTATATTTTTAGTATTTTTAGAGAAAAAATTTAAAAAACTAAAAGTTTTTTTTCGTATACAGTACTTTAAATTTGTTAACAGTTGAAATAAGAAAATTATTTTAAAAAATTTTAATAAAGTTATTGGAAAAAAATTTTAATAAAATTCTTTAAAACTATTTAATTATTTTCACAAATTTTTCGTAATTGAATGATTTTTATTATCTACTATTTTAATAAAAAATTTTCCAAAAGAGTTGAATGATTTAAAAAAAATGTTTATAAAATTTTTCGCAAAGATTCAATTATTTTGATAAATAAAAAAATTTTAACAGGAATTCAATGATTTAAAACAGAATTTTTCTAATATTTTTCGAAAAAATTAATTTTTTAAATAGATTTTTATAAAAATTCTTCCCTGACATTCAATTATTTTGCTAAATAAAAAAATTTTCACAGGAATTCAATTATTTAAAACTGAATTTTCCTAATATTTTTTTCGAAAAAAATCAATTATTTAAATAGATTTTTATAAAATTCTTCGCAAGAATTCAATTATTTTTTAAAATTTTAATAATCGTTGCAAGAATTCAACTATTTTTATATAAATATTAAAACTCATCGCTGGATTTCAATTATTTTTAATACAATTTTAATAAAATTCTTTGAAATAATTGAATTTAAAAAAAAAATTAAAAAAATTCTTTATAATAATTAAATTGTTTTCAATAATTTTAATAAATTTTTTTAAAAGAATTCAATTATTTTTAAAAATTTTAATAATCGTTGCAAGAATTCATCTATTTTTATAAATATTAAAACTTATCGCAGGATTTCAAGTATTTTTAATACAATTTTAATAAAATTCTTTGAAATAATTGAATTTTTTTAAAAAAATTTTAAAAATTCTTTATAATAATTAAATTGTTTTCAATATAATTTTAATAAATTTTTTTAAAGAATTGAATTATTTTTAAAAATTTTAATAGTAATGGTTGCAAGAATTCAATTATTTTTATAAATATTAAAACTTATTCCAGGATTTCAAGTATTTTTAATACAATTTTAATAAAATTCTTTGAAAGAATTCAATTATTTTAAAAATTTTTAATAAAATTCTTTATAATAATTGAATTGTTTTCAATACAATTTTAATAAAAATTTTCAAAAGAATTCAATTAATTTGATAAATAAAAAAATTTCCACAGGAATTCAATTATTTAAAACAAAATTTTCCTAATATTTTTCGAAAAAAATCAATTCCTTAAATAGATTTTTATAAAATTATATTTAAATAATTCGCATTATTTCAATTATTTTTAATACAATTTTAATAAAATTATTTGAAATAATTGAATTCTTTTAAAAAATTTTAATAAAATTCTTTATAATAATTGAATTTTTTTAAATATAATTTTAATAAAATGTTTTTAAATTTTGAGGTCAGAAATTTCGAATCTGGTGTTAGTTTTTAAAAATTCAAAATGTCGGATCCAACATAGCGGACGAATTTTTTTTTAATAGATGAACATTTTAAAAAAATTTAAAATATACACATTTTAAACAAAGGGAACAAAGACATCTATTCTATATTATAAATTAACAAAGGAAAAATTAAAATATTTGGCGAATTTTTTTTGTCTACTTTTATTTTTCGCGAATTCGTTGATGATGACTCGTTATTGGCGCAGAAATTCTTTCAATTTTAAAGGCATTGCGGTTTAAGTTGTATCTATATTTTCTTGGCATCGAGCCTAGCTCTTTTCTCTTGTTAAATTCGCTCGAATTTTTACGATTGAATCGTTTTCTTTTTTTTTTTTTTTTCAATGTATCCACTATTGAACCTATAACATTCCAGTATTATTTTTTTTAAAACGTTTCAATTTTGAATGAAGAAAAGAAATGTTAGTTTTAAAAAAGAAATTTAGTAGAATTTTTTTTCTTTTGTTTCTAGAACAGAATTTATTGAATTTTGTAGTGTACTTATCCGTTAAAGATAAATGGATTTGAATGATTCCTGCACTTTGTGTTGATAATTAAAGAAAAAGATCATTAAGATTACATGTGCTTTTAATGTAATGAAATTTTTAAACATTTGTAGGTAAATATCGCGTGCATGTTGCTGTTATTAACTTCTAATCTTGAAAAAGTCGATAATCGCCTCTCTCTCTCTTTCTTCTATTTTTTACTACTTTTACAAAAACACTATTTATTATTTATTTAGTTAAAATTTTTATTAATCGGGATAGTTAAAAAAATTTTTTTGTTTTTTTTTGTTTTTACGACACTGAAAAGAATGAAGCAATTTTTTCAGTGGTTTTAGGTTAGAAAAGTATTCTGAAGCCATCAGTTTAAAATTTGAGGTTAGAATAAATACGAAGTTTCGATATTAATTTTTACCAGTTTAGGTGCGAGAGGGGTAGGAGTAGAAAATTAAAAAAAAAATTATATTAAAATTTTCAAGGCAGAAAACATTTTCTAAACTTTTTCCACTTTTTTTTTAAAAGAATGTTTAGGTTAGAAAAGTATATTTATAGGTTAACTTTTAAAACCGTTATATTATAGGTTAAGTATAGTGTATAATACAAAATGTCCCTTTTTTAAAAAAAGTTGTTTCATTAAACTCATTTTTGCCATATTATATTACATTGGAAGGAAAGTGAAAAAATTTTTCACTCATTTTTGGGGAAGAAAAAAAATTCTTTTGGAAGAAAATCTTTGTTAGATTATAAACTCGTTCGTCTGGAGGTTAACCGTTTCTTGAAGAGGGCAGTCTATGCTTTGACAATCGATGCCAATCGTGCGGCTGGGTTATCGATAATAATACCCACGACTGGATTTTTATTTATTTTCTCAATATTCTTTTTTTTCGTATTTCTTTTCTTCCGTTTTTCTATATTTTTTTTCTCTATCAATGATAAATTTTTCTCCATTTCAATTTCATTTCAGACAAATGATATTGGCATTGTAGTATATATATAGTATCTTCACTTCCTGTCCGTTATATCGTACTTCATATATATAATAAATAATAAATAATAATAATAATAAATAATAATAATAAATAATAGTAGAATAAAAATAGTATAAGTAATAATATTTAATAAATATATAAATTAATTTAATTAAAACGAAAAAAATAAATTTTTAAATTTAAAAAGCCCGCGTTAAAATTTATTGACAGAGGGCGCCATTGACTCTCTCGCTAGTGGTAATGTTTTTGCGTCAAATTGTAGTAATAATGAGAATTATTGATAGCAATGAATAATATTAATAATAACAATGTTAATAATAATAATGTTAATAATAATAATAATAATGTTAATAATGAAATAATAATAATACTAATTATTAAAAGGGAGAATATTTTAAGCTCTCTCTTAAGGTGAAAAAAAAAATTTTTTTTCGTCTCAAGGGAGAGAGAGAGAGAGAGACAGAGCGTCGTCTTCATTAATTAAATTCACTGTACGTCGATATGTCAAGAATAATATTATTACTAATACTATTAATCAGCAATAGGCTCTATAGACTTATTTTAAATATTGACAAGGTGTGTACATATATATAACGTATACGTCTCGTTAACTGTTTGATGATGTTCTTCTGGAATTTTAATTAATTTCTGTTTAACAGTTTCATATTGTATGTAGTGTACATATATATATATGATAAATTTGCCATGTATAAATGTTAAATAATTTTTTTTTTTTGATGAAGGGAAAGAGAAATGAAGGAAGTCTTATAGATTTTTAATTCTATGGCGATAAAAGATATATTTTTTATTTGTTTACAGTGAATTTATTTGACAATTTTTATTTAGAAATTTATTCATAAATGTTAAAAATTAAAATAAATTTATTTATAAATATTAAAAATGAAATTATTATTATTTATAGCTATTATAAATAAAATAATTCATTAAATTTTGAACAATAATTCATTAGTCAAAGTCAAAGTCATCGTGGCTGCGCGGTATTATGCTTTATGCGTCACGAAAATTCCAGGGTTCGATCCCACATGCTTGCAAAAATTTTAATTCTCATTATTTTCTTATATTTCATTATTGTTGTTTTTTTAATAGAAACAATAGTATTGATATTTTTGTTTTTATATTATTATTATTGTTGTTTATTTTTTTTTCTTTTTTTTTATTTCACGGGGTAGAAGAGAAAATCATTGAAGTTACGTATATATAATATATGAAAAAAGAAGAGTAATTTGTCATTTTTATAAATAGAACACTAATTTATGTTTAAAATGTAAATACACAACATTTTACGATGAACATTATTCGTATATTTGTATTATGCATACATACATAAAATATGGAGTAATACATAATTATTATTTTAACAGCCACTTATTAAATAAAGATTAAATCACTTAAATTACTATTTTATTTTTAGTAAATTCGCTATATTTTTAATAAATAAAAAAAAAATTTTTCCTTCAAAAGAAATAAATTAATTTACACAATATAGATGGAAATTTTATATCTTTTTGGTAATAAATAAATAAATAATAATAGAATTTGAATTAATCAGAAATTTTAAAGATAACTTAGATTTTTGAAAAATTTAATAATTCAAGTTCTTATGAAATCAGTTAAATTTCTTAATATATATTTAATTAATTATTAAAAAGTAATGAATTTATAGAAGAATTCTACTTAAAATCCCTAATAAAATTTTTTTTTGAGAAGTTACAAAATAATGGCAGAAATTCAATTATTTTTAAAAAGTATAATAAAATTCTTCTCCAAAATT